ACCTCTATAATCGGCGGTGTTGCAGAGCTCGTACTGAAGAGAGGTATCCCTATTTGGCCACAGACCCATTATGCCACCACTTGTTGGCGGTTAAAGCTGAAAGATTATATACGTAAAAAAGATAAAATTTTGCATTTAAACAGTTAAAAGAGAAAAAAAAGAGTTACCAAAATCTTGGTGATGGTGTAGCTGAAGAGAGAGAGAGAGAGTTGAGTGGTTGGAATTGGGGAGTGATGCATGTTCCAAAGAGGAGGCTGAAATCCAAACTGTTTGAAGGATGAAGAGGGAAATTAGGAGGCATAGGATTGCATATACTCCCATTTTTGGGTCTCAAAATTCAAAATTTGAGATCTAAATTAAACTTTTTGTGTAGGGGAAGTAGCGATGTTGGGAGATAGCCATAGGGATAGGTCCAAGAGTAGGTGTTATTATAGAGGAGAGGGTTGTAAAGTGTAAAGTGAAACACAAGATCATGATCAAGCACAGAAGGGAATCTTTATGCTTCTGGTGCAGTGCAGGTATTAAACAATGGCACACAAACAAAGAAAGAACCATATTTTAGTTCACAGTGATTAATATTCTCTCTCAAATGGAACAGCTTTTGAGGCTGTTGAGTGTTTAGTATAAATTCTTTTCTTGTGTGTGTTAAACAGTGGGATTAGACTGCTATGTTTTGTATATTATATTCCCCGATGCTTTTCTAGCTAGCTAGTTAAGTTATATACGTTCTGGTTGGTCAGAGTTTAAAATATACGATTCAACCGTATTTTTAATGGCTTTGATATCGTTTTAATATTCATAGGGTCAACTGTCGATGAGATGAGAGGTGTAGTCCCTGTATTTATAAACTTTATTTAAGTTACTTGATCTTTCCGACGTGAGATTCTTAACACTATATTGTGGTGATTGTATTGATTAGATAACTAGGCCAACTTGCTATTTTTGTTCCATTCGAGGATTTCATTTATATAACTGAAGTTCTAAGACGTTTTTTTTAATATTAATTATGTTACAATTGAGAGAGTGAAGATTTGGACATTTTCACCTCATAATGAAGAGGTGCGCATGACTTACTATGGAGTTAAGAACAAGTTAGCAACTCTAATATACATTACTCTAATTAATATCACTTGTTGATGCTTAAATTTGGTCTTATGGGATGTCGTCAAATTCGCACAAATCTTCTAGAATAAAGGGATTGACGAGACCTGCAAAACAAAATTCTAGCCACATCGGCTCCGATGCTTAATTCAGAATCGGAGAAGTCGAGTATGGAGAGTAGGATATTTTAACATAGGAAAGAGTAGAGATTTGTAGCATATCAAATAGTATGAATTTGTAGCATCCCTTTATATTTGACTTACTCCCCTATCTATAGAACTTGAATCTTGATCCTTCCAGGAATTGTGGAATTCGAATGCCGGAGATCAATATAAGATATATTCTCCTCAATTTGAAGACCATCAAGATATCTTCCCTTTTGAATCCCTTGGGAACTGAGATTTTTTCATTAGACTTCTGCTTTGAGAATATTTTGTTGTGTGGTTGGTGGGATTTAATTTATACCCTAGAGTTTACTCTTGGGTTTCTAACCTATTTGGATTTTGTCAATGGTTTTTTACCATGAGTTTAATCAATACCATTGAGTTTCTAACCTATTTTCGTTTTTGGCAAATGGTTTTATACCCTGGGTTTCGTTGACTGGTTTGGCATGTCTGTCTTGTCCTAGTTCGAGTTCCTTGACTAGCGGTTGAATAGCTTACCCATGCCCCCACTTTGTTTGGTCATCAAACAAATAATTTTCTCAAGTATAAAACATAGGAAATTATTAATTTACCTCAAATTTGAACATCATAGTAGAATAAACAACATGCTTAATTTTTATTTAACAATTCATCACCTTCAACCATCCTAGGCAAGAATAACTCTCGGTTTACCATCCTCCTCGGATGACAATCATTGTCGGAACGTTGTTGATCTCTCCAAAGTTCATATTGTTGGTTTTTAGATCTTAGCGTTCCCACGATGCAAATTGTTGATGCATAAATTTGGCCTCTCGAGATGCCGCCAAATTCACACAAATCTTTGGGATCGACGAGACCTGCAAAACAGAATACCGCTAAGATCGGTGTGGCGATCGGAGAAGTCGAGTATGGAGAGTAGGATATTTTAGCATAGGAAAGAGTAGAGATTTGTAGCATATCAAATAGTAGGGATTTGTAGCATCCTTTTAGGTTTGACTTACTTCTAGAAGTTGAATCCTGTTCCTTCCAGAGATTGTGAAATTCCTCATACAACTAACAAATCTGGTTATCTGAATCTAGGATATCTTCTCCTCGATATTTTCCCTTTTGAATCCCTGGTAGGGAATTGAGATTTTCTCATCCATGACATCACTAGTTAATACATTAAATCTTGTTCGGTCTCCATGGTATGATTTTTGTTACTTAATATTATTTAAGCTCATATGGTTTATTTTTAGATTCTATTCAAAAGACTTTCTAAGCAGCTTAATTTACTTTGGTGTATTTAAGACCTTCTTTACTAGATGATGTAAGGCTATATGTTTGCATTTCCAACACATGCTTTCATCAAATCAAATGGTAAATTTAAAACAATTCAAAAATTAACTAGCCAATCTGAATAAGTTTAACTAATTAAGGTATCTATATATTTTTAATAAAAAAAATTGTGAGTTTGAATCTCTACCTCACATATTATACTTGAAAAAAAAACCAAAAAACTAATTAAAATTACTGTATTTAAAATTAAACTTTCAAAACGTCTAATTATAAACCTACCGAACATGTACAAATTCCTAGACAAGGTTTATAGTTTTTCTGTTTAAAAATAGGCGAGTTCACATCATAATCTAATTCTTTACACTCTAGAAATGTAGACCATGCAAATAGAAAGTTTGAATTAGACTTTAAATCAATGGAATATAATATATTAGAGTGATTAGAATACTTCTAATTTTGTTTTGTTTCCTATATATATTAAAAAGAACTCTTAGATCATTGTCAGACCAATTTTATTAACTTTTTTTTTCATTCAAATATTAATTTAGAGGAAGCTGAAGAAGTGAAAGGTGGAATAAAGAATAAAGGTAAAAATCAAAAAACCAACCAAACCACTTGTTGAAAGATCCATAAATGCTGTGGGCTGCCAAGAATCTGATGCCTAATTTTTCACACTTTACACTATCATTTTCAAGAATGTGTTGTGCTATATAATTCAAACTTCACTCTCTTTCACCTTTTTTTCTCTTTGGTTATTCCTCTTCCTTCAAGATCTAACAAGATCTTCTTAAACAGATTAAAAGTTTCAAAAAAACAAACATATTTTTAGTTAGTTATGTGTATATATGTAGATCGAATTTTAACTTTGCAACGTTATGATTCTTGGGCTTCTTAGTTCGTAAGTATTGGGTCTTTGCAGTTTTAGAAAAATAACGATCGTGTTCGTTTTTTAAAGATGCTTTAGAGTAATAAATAAGCCTATTTGGATAGTCGCCAATGTTGAATAGGTATTCTAAATCATTTCTTGATTGCATAGGTAGTTCGAAAGTCTTTGGTGCTCGAATTAGCTAGGCATCTTACTTTTCCTCTCGGTCAATTCATCTGTTAAGGATGATGGCCAAAATCTCTGTAGTCTTTCATATGTATTCTAAGGGAATGGTCGACTTATCACATTCGAGGTGTGTATCAATTTTGAATTACCAACTCTTTTATTATATCCTACTTTTTCTTTATTTGAATAAATTATCTGTCTGGCTAGAATGAGCATAGCTGGGTTAAGACACCTTATTATCTTTTTTAAGGTTGGAGGTTGGATCTCTCATCTCTATATTTGTTGTACTAGAAAAAAAAACTTCATGTAATTTCCAAAGTATAAAATTAAATTATTTTAAATAAAAAAATTAAAACAAAAACATTACCAGATATATAGAAAGTAGTAACCATCTATACTACACACATATTAATATTTATGGTATACATATTATTAATATGACTTGATTGATCTTAGTAAGCTCTCTTAAAAATTATGGAGTTTCGAATTCCCATTTCTCTTTTACATTTGTCCTTTTTAATGTATTTTAACCTTTTGTGTTTTGTTGTGAGCAACCTCACGTTATGCAAAGTTTGGTGCTTAATGCCTTTGACTTTTATTTTTGAACTTAATGCATTTTACTATTGGTGTGAAATGAACTCTAGCTTTAAATGCCATTAAGATTGTTATATTTTTATTGCCAAAATCGATTAATTATATCTTAATTAAACTTCAATTAAAGTTTCATTTATTAATTCGAACAATTTCAACCTATTTTTACATTTTCGTAATCTTTCTCGGAATATTGATAGTAGGGATGTTCACAGGTTGGGTCGGGTCGGGTTAGGAGTGATTTTTGGACCAACCTGAATTTTCGAGTTGGCCATATATAGGAACTGTCGAATTTGATTTGAATCGGATTGGATTGTCGGTGTGTGTTTTTTTTAATTATCACGACGATGACGGGGAGTTAGGATTAAAACTTAACTGACGGTTGAGATTAAGATAAAAAAATGGAAGAATATAATATGAAAACTTTAAATGAAAGGCGATTAACACTAAATGGATGCTAACATTGAAGATAAATATATTATTATATATATAATTAAGAAAAATACAATATGCATAAATTTGGGTTGGATTGGGTTGATCCCGATTTTTTAAAGGTTGAATCCGAAATTCAATCCAACTCTATCGGATTGAAAAAATCACAACCCAACCCAATCCAAAGTTTCATCTAATCCATTTGTCGGATTCGTCAACTTGTCCGATCTTCTGAACACCTCTAATTATATAAGAGTACATTTACATCGAGATTTCTGTAAAATCGAAATTAGGACATTTCCGTTGAGAATATTTCAAACCTTGTATGAAGTATAAACTTTGCTGCATTATCCAAAAAAAAAAAAAAAAAGCTGTTTTTCCAGAGGAAAAAAGGATCAGCCATCATTATCTTGCTTCTTATATTCATAATGCCATTTCCCATTCCCATAAATAATTATTTCTTCCCCTGGTTGGTTTATGCAAGAAGAAGAAGACAACGAAAGGAAAATACCGAGAAGATAAAGATTCAACGAATGCGGATCATCAAAATGTTCTAATCTTTTTTTTTTTTCCTTTCACTTAGTCACGGCTTCAATTATACGTCTTTTTCTCTAACATGGCGTCGTGAAATCCCCACAATTTCTCCCAAAATTCTCCTTCTCAATCACGTCAACGGATGGATGAACTATCGATCGAGTGGCCAACGCACGCCACACACACAAGTCTCCACTCAATTGGGCGCCGCAGAAACCTTCGAACTCCACAATCGCGATTAATTGTCCAACCCCAATATCGAGTGGAGCAATTGGGAATTTTGACACTTTGCAGAAGTCAAAGCTATTATGGAAAATGGGCATTTTCAGACGTTCCTGTCATCGATGATCTGTGGGGAGTAATGGGAGTCATCGCCAAGAGTGGAGGAAGAAATTCCAAGTGATGAAGCAAATGTTGTTGTGGTGTCGCCACCATTAAGGTACCTCTTTAATCGATCCAAGTCATCCGCAGCATCGAGCATGGTGGGTCTTGTGGATGGAGATTCTTGAGTGCATAGCAAACCTAATTCGATTAGCTCTCGGATTGCCACTTCCCACATTTTCTTCATTTCAGGTGATTGATCTCTCGAAGCTCTCTGTAGAGAAGAATCCACTACTTTTTCTACTCTGCCGTAGTAATGGCTCTTCACCCACTTATGTAGACTTAGCCCATCATCAAACATGTCGTCTGTTGGCCTTTTTCTTGTCACCATTTCTAGAGCTAGAACGCCGAAACTGTAAACATCTCCTTTCATCGATGCTGTTGAACCAAACCCGTATTCTGCACCATGAATAGACGTAACACGAATCATGCACTTGACATGTTTGATAAAAGTCCTAGGTAAAAATGGAAAGACAGAGGTTTCTTGTTCTGCCCTCTCTCTCTCATTTTAAGTTGTAGGGAATATATTCAATGATTAAACTTGTCATAGCTTATCAACTCAAACTTGTGGGCCTAGTGATAACTTATCAATGTTATCATGAGAGAGGATCCTGAGTTAAAACTCTGGAGATGGTTAAAAATTGATGCAATTGAATTGGGTGATGTCCCTCACGCTCCCTCCCTTTTTTAGAATGGGAATCTTAGTAGAGATAAAGAATTTTTAGCTGATAGAGATGGAGATGGAGAAGCTATTCTCGACACTGTTTCTCATTCTAACACTCGTAATTTTACATTTGCTTAGAATGTAGATGAATCGAAAGCGAAATTGTTGGGTTTTTAAAAGCAGAGAAATGTACCTGGTGCAATATATCCGATTGATCCACTTAACATGTTTGCAGTAGACTTTCCCATGTTTTCAACAGCTGCACTACTTCCAACTCCAGGAGTCATTAACCTCGCGATCCCAAAATCAGAAACAAGAGCTGTCATGTCATCTTTTAGAAGAACGTTGCTTGGCTTTAGATCACAATGAACGACTCTGACTGGAGAGTGATGATGCAGGTATGCCATTCCTTCAGCTATATCACTGCATATATTCACCCTCTGGACAAGGCTTAAATCTGAAGAACCAGAAGCCAAGCTGGTTGGCGAATGTGGGTATAGATGGCTATCCAAGCTTCCATTTGCCATGTATGGTAGAACTAGAGCTTTAAAGTCTGGAAGACTACAAGCTGTTATAATTCTTATAAGGTTTCTATGGCGAATTCGCTTCAAAACCTCACATTCTCTGTTAAAACTCTTTGTGGAATTTCCAGATTGCATATGCAGAACTTTGACGGCTACTGTTGTTCCATCTGGAAGAACGCCTCTATAGACTTGTCCATAGCTACCTGACCCAATTAGTCTCTGTTCATCAAAACCTCCAGTAGCTTCTGATAGTTGCCTGCTTGTTATTCTTGGAAAATTGTGCATAAAATCTGGCATCTTTGATCTCCTTGATGACTCAATATTTCGTGCTGAAATAATTACTTTTAGACGTCGGCAAGCAATGGCGCAGCATATTGTTGATAAGAACGATGATATGCATATGATTAGGATGAATATAGTCAAGAATACAGGTGATTGAAACCGATTTCTCTTGCCAGGACAGGTTGGTATTCCAGGAACTGCCCCACAAAGGAGTGGATTGTTCAAAAACGACAAACTTGTGGATGACTTGAAAATCCCCCCTCTTGGAATCATTCCTTCGAAGTTATTGAATGAAAGATTCAGGTAGGTGAGGGATTGGAGCTTACCAAGACTGGCTGGAATCACACCAGATATTTGGTTTTTTGAAATGTCAAAGGATTCAAGGTTCTCGAGTTCACCTAGAGAATCCGGAAGATGACCTTGGAGGGAGTTATTTGAAAAATTTATCAACCTCAGTGCAATACAACTTGATATCTGAGGGAAGATACTTCCAGTGAGATTATTGGATGAAAGATCCATCTCTTGAACATTTTTCAGCTTGCTAAGCTCAATTGGTAAGGTTCCTTGAAGATTGTTATGAGAAAGGTTAATGAAAATTCTTATCTCTTGCAAGCCTAATATATCTCGAGGAATGATTCCTGACAACATGTTGAAAGATAAGTCCAGCTTTTGGATACCTGTACACTTTCCTAAAGTTGAAGGTATGGTTCCTGACAAGAGGTTGTTGTTGAGAAACAAATAGTTCAATTGAGTCAAATTCCCAATACTTTCTGGGATTTCACCTGAAAGTTGGTTGTATGATAGGTCCAACAAACCAAGATGTCGTAACTCGCCTAATGCTTCTGGAATGTCTGAAGTTATGAGGTTGTGTGATAAAAAAAGCTGCTCCAATTTCGACAACTTGCTTATCTCTGCAGGAATTGTTCCGTTAAGAAGATTCGATGTCAAGTTCAGCACTGCAAATTTGGTAAGCTTGGCTAAACTTGGAGGAATTGATCCAAATATTTGGTTTTCTTGCAGAAGCAGAACTGAAAAATTGACACCCAAACGGCCAATGGAATCAGGCACCCTCCCTCCGAGCCCCATACCTGCCAATTCAAGCTCCTCTAAACTACTGCAGTTTCCAAGAGAAGTAATGAACGGTTCAAGATTGTTATTTCCATCATGGCTTACCATATCATTATTTGACAAATGAAGGTAGATAAGTGAAGGCAGGTTTTCTACAAGCACCGAAGGCAGTTCCCCAGAAAGATGATTATATTCGACATCCAAGTTATACAGAGAAGTGTTTGTTAAAGAAAGAGGGAGTTCTCCACTGAACTGGTTGTTGTACAGATTGAGATTCCACAGCTTTGGACAATTTCCAACTTCTTTTGGAATCCCTCCTGTCAGGAAGTTGTTGGAAAGGTCTACATTATGCAACAAAGTGCAATTAGAAAAGAGAGAAGGTGGAACTGTGCCATTTAACTTGTTCTGCATAAGACTTACTACAGTAAGTTTGGACAAACTAGCGAGGGAATTTGGTATTGCACCATCCAAATTGTTGCTGTCAAGGCGAAGGCGGTGAAGATTTCGAAGAGAGAAAAGTTCAGAAGGAATTCCCCCAAAAAAATTGTTGTCAATAATATCCAGAACTCGAAGACCAGTGAGATTGGAGAGGAAGGGTGAAATTTTTCCCACAAGTCCAACATCAATCAAACTGAGCTTCGTCACCCGGTGACGGTGTCGGTCACAAGCAACACCAGTGAAGTTGCATACATCAACTGCCTCAATCCAGTTAGCTAGAGTGGAAGTGGGGTCATGTATGATCCACGTCCTGAAGGCCAGGAGGGCTGCTTTATCAGTGATCAAAGACTTATGAGGGGGGTAGTGGTGACCTATAACTGAACTCCCAGAAATAAAAACCAGATACTGAAACAGTAGGAGGAACACAGCTCTTAAGAAAACCATATCAAGCTGAAGAAGAATACTATTACAATGGAAATTGGTCTGTAAGTTTACCTTCTTCTCTAGTCATCATCCTTTGCTTTACATTCTTCTGCCTGTTTCATAAAGGGAATGGAAAAAAAAACATATATGAAAGTTTAGTGGGATGGGTTTGAGCTAGAATTGGTTAGAAAGTGGGCTAGTGCAGAAGTAGCTGAAAGAGAAAGGGAGGGAGTAATGTGTAAATTACTGGTGCGATTTGATATTTTATAGGGAAAAAGTCGGTGGTAGGAATGATGAATTGAGAGACTAAGAATGGTATTATTTGCTCATCTTTTGCTTTATGGGGCTGCAATCACTATGATGATTAGGTTTTCACTCAATATAATAAATCTATATCCTGAAAGATAACTGTTTGCTGGGATTGTTTATATGAAGGAATGGAAGAGAAAAGAGAAGTAAATTTGTGGGTTTTTATTTAAAAACTCTCTCTCTCTCTCTTGTGGGTGGTGAGTGGGTGTGCTGGTGGAGGGACATTCTTCTGGTGTTCTGGCTGATGGCTGCAACATGTAACGATTTCTTTTTTCTTGTTTTCTCTTTTTTCTAGAAACATTTTGAGGATCTTTACTAAATTTATATATACACACACACTTTGGGAGAGATTATTTTTTGTTAAAAATTTTTGAAATAGGGAAAATTTGTCTCCAAAACAATTCACTTTTGGAAATGAAAAGAAAGTTATTAAAATGAGTACTTGGTAGTTGGTAGTCCAGCCTGCATTTTCATAAGGTTTTTGGTTTTTGCTATATTGTTTTTAAAGAATATAAAATCAGAATATGTTTGAGAATGTTTTTTTTTTTAATTGAAAACCCCCTTAAATTCAGATAGACACTAGACAGAGAAGGAAAGAAAAGAGAGAGAGGGAGATTTGAGATTTAGTTTTTGGTTAAATTGTTGGGTTGAAAGTTGAATAATAGGTCAACCCTTGTTGATGAGATATCTGACGTGGCCATGGCCATGGAATTGGGAATGGTTTGTTTTTTTTCTTTCTTCATTTTCTTTTTCTTCACTGTTGCAGAAGGACGGAGTGTTTGTTTCCTGGGAAAATTTTCAGAGCCTTCTCATTTTCCTTCACAGATGTGGATCATCATGCTTTTCTCAGGTGAATTCATGCTTCAAAATCACTTTCTTCATTAGGCCCAACTCCAAAGGCCTCAATGATCTTCTCAAACAATGCTGTCGTCGTTAGAGTTGGACAAGTTTTGCCATATTTGCAGATTGTAATTTATATAGCAATTTTTTTTTGTGTGCATAGACATTTTTACGCAATTCTCTCTTTAATCACTCATTTACGTTAACCTTTCGATTCTTTCCATTCCATGTGAGACAAAATTAGGTCAATTTACATTTGTCATTTCCAACGATAAAGTCTATCAATAATGTAGACTATTACTGATAGAACATAGACATTTCAAGGCTATTTTAGTCTTTTTCTTTTTCGTTATATTTGTAAATTTATGATACTGTAGCAGTATTTGTAATTAATTAATCTTGATTTGCCATATTTGCAAGTGCTATTTTTGTTTCTATTAAAATTTTAGGTGAAATCGTCTCTTCCTCCCATTTGCCGTACCATTAAAATTATCCTATTATCATGAAGTTCAATATTCTTAAAAATATTATTAAAATATATAATATTAACAAAAATAATCTTCCCAAATGATGATGGATGATTTCTTTCTAATTATTTTCATTTAAAATTCCTTTTCACTTTCTTATTATTTTTCCTTGAAATCTTGATATTTATTATTTTAATTACATTTGAGAAACTACAAAATTAACGGAAACGCAAACAAATTTAGGGAGTAGAAAGAACAATCTGATTATGAAATGATTTGTCAGAGCACGATGGTCGGTTTAGAATGATCCAAGAAATTGTTTTCTTTCTTTTTTTTTTTTTTTGGTTGCACTTTTTTAATTCTTGAAATCATAAAATAACTTCAACTACTTCGTATTAACCACGTTTTAATTTTACATCCTGTTCATAATATTTTTTTATATCAGGTCTATTTTCAATATAAATATTATTTTGGGTAAATTACACAAATCATGGTAGTGGTCACAATTACATCCTAGAATTTTTAAGTATAAAAATTGAATCCTCATATTTTTCTAAATTAAAAAATTAAACCCTACAAACGTGAGAAATTGCAATCCTAAATTTTTAATGGTATAAATATGAAATAATATAGTAATTTTTAAAAATTAGTACTCTATTATATTTCTCTAAATATTTCCTTCTTTCTGTAATTTAAAAAATTTCTTCCACTCCCACTCCCACCCGCACCCCACACTAAATACGCCATTGAACCACCGGAGCCATAAACGACGAGCTGCAGAATCCAAAGCTAGAATCTCTTGGTGGTTCGGAAACTGTCGACAGATCCGCCGTGCACGGCGTCGAAAACGAGCTCATGGTTGTGCAGAAAATGCTCGAGAAAACACACGGCGGCAACGGCTTCAAAGCCATCGGAATCTTCGGAGCCAAAGGATTGGAAACCGATTTCCCAAGCTTTTCTCCAAAACCCAGAAGTGAAATCACAATTTCTCCCTACGATTTGGGTTTCAAGCTTCTCGAACGACTGCTATTTCTCTCAACTGCCCGTACAATCTCTCATAAAATCTTCAATACAGTTTAATCACGGAGGGAGAGAGAAAGTAGAGAAATAATGAAGTGTTTAGAGAAATAGGGTAAATTAGATTTAAGTTTCTAAAATTCAAGGGTTTCAGAAATTTATTGGTGTAAATTTGAGGATTTAATTTTTACTATTAGGATTGAATTTTTTCACTTATAAAAATTTCTATTCACTGCTATTTTAAAACGTCATAATTACTTAATTATTCACTTAAAAAATATGTTATCTGTTTTTAGCGGTGAATTAATTTAATTCAACATGTTGGGAGGAAGATTCGAACTCACAACTTCTTAGTTAATTATATTCGCTTTGACAATTATTGTTATTGTTTTATTCGCTCTTGTTTAGGTGTATTTGCTAGTTTGATCAATATATAATGGTAAATATAATATTGTTTTAGAAAGTAAATAAATAGTGTTATTCGTTTATTTATTTTTAAATTCTAACCAGTATAACCATGTTTAGATTAACAAATAAATAGTGATGGAGCTGAAAAATGCAAAATTAATAAGCAAAATTACATATATTATAACCGTAGCCTACTTTCAAATTTACAAAACTAAAAAAATAAAAAATTAATAGAAAACAAGATGTAAAATCTCACCTTTTATATGTTTAAAAACCCACACAAAATGACAAAATAATATCTTCACAAATGCTAACAAAATTTTAAATATATCATTTTATTATGTTATGGAATAAAATTCCATAAATTCCAACTGGTTCATCTCTAGTCTAACTTCACTAAATCCAATTATGAATTCCATGAAACTTGAAAAACCTCACATCAAAACTCAGAAACAATTTCTAGTTTAAGAAGTTAAAACTTCAAAACTGGGCTGAAAATGAAGTGAAACATGCTTCTAAGAAATGGATACATACATACATCTTGGGGGGGAGCTCGAAGAGAGATATTAAAACATTCCATGAACTGTTTTCAAAACTTAAATTAGGATTCATAAATTACACTAAAATAATGTACACCAACAATAATTTCACTAAATCTGCACTATCTTCTTGCAGAAATGAATGAAGATATCTACATAAGGTTGTTTATTCAGAATGTTGAGTAGATATCAATCAAAAGTACACCCAATATGATGACATTTTACCTTTCTTTTCTCTCTATAATATTGTACATCTAGGAGGTTATTTCAAGGCTTTATGTAGGTCCAAATCCCCAGAGATATTATCAACTCAAATAAATAGATCAACCATTAACCTGCAGCATTGTTTGATTTTAATCTCTGGATTTCATCTTTCGCACGTAATATCCTACACATACAAACCCAAAAGCTAATTTAGGAAAACGTTTTTTAGCTACTAAATAATTGAAGATGCATGTAAACAAACATACCTCCACTGTAAGTCAGTTATTTCGTTGAGTAAATCCTTCTCCCTTTCGTGAGCTGCTTCAAGCTGCAAATAATGATTCTCCAATCATCCAACAGAAAAACAGCATGTTTATCTCATAGGATCTCTTATTTGATCATTATAAATTCCATTTTCTTAATTCATTTATTCAAGACTCATTTGATAGTCATTGGTTTTGATTTTTAACTTTTCAAAATTAAGCTTATAAACACTACTTTCACCTATTTGTTTTTTTAATTTGTTATATCCCCCTTAAAAAGTTTTCAAAATCTAAATTAAAATGTGAAAACTAAAAAATGTAGATTTCTTTCGTAACTATTTCGTTTTCTACTTTTAGAAATCATACATGCTTCCTCACAATTTCTTTGGCATGCTTATCACATTTTTTGAAAATTCATTTGAATTTTGAGTTAAAATTTAAAAACAAGAATAACTTTTTAAAATTTAATTTTTCTTCTTTCAAAATTTTGACTTAGATTTTGAAAACCTATTTAAAAAAGTAGATAACAAAACAAAGAGAGATGTTCGTAGATCAAAACAAAATGGTTAATAAATTGAGTAAAATCTTGGGTTTTGGTTTTTAAAATTGATTAAGAATTCAAATGTATTTTTACGAAAAACATATTAAAGAAATTGTGAGAAAGCATGCATAATTTCTATAAACAAAAAACAAAATCGTTATCAAACCGATCAGAGCAGAAGATTCTTGTATGTGAAACCAACATTAATGCATGCATCACTATGGTCTGAAGATCCCAACTCCAAAACGTAAATTGTCAAAGGATAAGAAGCACTAATCAAAAAATGTTTCATTTGACTCAGGCGCTCATTTATCCTCCTTTTTTTTACATACCAACGATTTCTCCACTGCAACTATGTGTGCCGTTGAGACATCAACTGTGCTATCAGCTGAGCATTGGAAACAAGAAAAGGTTAAATTTAAGTGTTAACTGAAATAAATATGGAACCTACCCTCACTTCTAAAGAGAATATATGAGAAATTCAAACCTGGAAATTCTCCGATTGAGACTTGCCTCATTAGAGTCAAAATATCATCCTGATCCAACAAGGAACGGTAGACTAAATTCAGCAATTGACAAGTGACAATATGCTATATTAATTCATTAATCGTACCCTTTGAAGAATATTTGCCTGCAAAACAGATTGCAACACTGGAAACATAGAAGATCTAGGATAAATTGGTATAGCATCCAACGATGAAGGTAGAGGTGGTGACAGTGCAGGTGTTGGTAGATTAGAAGGTAGAGAAGTAGTAGTAGCGGAATTCGAGGTAAGCACCTGCATAACCGGCATCCTGGGACTTAGGAGCAATAAACTTATTAAAGTGCAAATACATATACAGCATATCAATAATAACTTTGGTCCTTTGTCACAACGCATAAACATGCTATAGCCTTATGAACTGAATGATCTCTAAATCAATCTATACTGGTCCATTTTTGGATTCTCCAGTAATTTTCTTAAAAACTTTCCCATAACTTTTTTCTTTTCATGCCTTTATTTTTACTTCAACCGCGAGTAAATTCAGGTTTTGAGGGAGGAAACAACAGGGAACATGGTGTGATAGGGATAAAATAGAAATCTGAGGGTACCATCTTTCTTAGATCCATAATAAACTTACAACAAAGTTGTACTAGTAGAACACATTCAAATGCAGACAACATGTTTTACACCTCTTGAAGCATCTTAAAATATTACAATATGAGAAGGATAGGGGGAAAAAAGATCAAATGAACACAAACAATCATGCCAACCTCAAATTACCAACCTGCATACTGTGACTTTTTTGCAGAATAGGGGCTCCAGCTGCCTGAAAAGAAACAGACAAATTGAGTAATCCAGCCTCTAAGAAAAGGAGTATCCTCCAGATTACTGAACCTACCCTATCCACATCAACATTCTCCGAAGTAACTTTGAAACGCCCTTTCTGCTGAATAACTGGTGCCTTTGCTTTCTCATCCTGTTCCTCATCATTTGTTGCAGGACTTACTATTAAAGAACGTCAATCAAACATAAGACTGAAACATGATTACCCACAATAGAAATCAAGGAAAATAACTTTTCTGTCATATAGTTAAAGACATACATGACTTGGAATCTTTAGAATGCGATTCATGAAGCACGTCATCTACCGCTGCCTGAGGAACTATTCCTATTGCAACACCGCCATTTGCAACATTCTTTTCTATCTCATAACTGAAAATTCAAAGTGATCCATCATGAACTCCCATTCATAAATGTTTGATGTGATAACCGGGCATCACAATAAACTCATGCAGAAGGGGATTTTCATTTGAAAACACAGACATGATAATCCTTGTGCTGGCTAAATGTTTCAAAATAATAATAACAAACAAGCTGATAGCAGTATCCGTTTACAAAATGAGCTAATCGCAAAAGAACAAAGATACATGTAAAACAATTTTGGCTTAGAGTTTATAAGTAACTATTTTATAATGGCCATAGTAGGCTGAAGGAAAGGGACTAGCTCTTACCAATCTTAAAAATCTGAACTCCACCTTTTAAAAGATGGAGGGGGAGATTATTTAGCTTTTGCTAATACATGCTAGGAAGATCAAGAATTTATGTATTCCATAGAACCCTTTTTCTATATGCTTAGAGCACAGTGCTGACAATCACCTTATGCATGTCTGTCTACCCAATTTATGTCTTGTTTTCCAATGTGGTTAGTTCGGAAGGTAAAAACCTTTCTGAAAAACTATAACCAGCTGAGAGGAAATTTTAATTTATGAACTGAAATAATCTCAAGATTTTTTCTGCAAAGAATAATCTTTGGTTACATTTCCCATCTGGTTGTTCTAGATTTCTGTAGATTCTTGAAATCAATTTGCAATAGTGGTTTTATTGTTCTTTTCATTATCCGTGCACAATAAGGAAATTCATGGACCACCTAACTTAGCTTAAAACTTCAATAAAGTACAATCATATATATTCACACAAACACAAAGTCATATGCGAAGAACAAAAATCAGCAATTTAATGTTGTTGGCAACAATCATACAATATTTCTAGAAAATGATTCAAGAATAGAGACAACACCATAGACCACAAGTATGGAAGCATGAAATATTTTGGGTATTTATGAAATTTCAGTGAACTGTGATAGCTCAAGAAATATATTTCTCCAAGTAATTCACATGAATAAATTAATATCTATAATGCCAACTAAATTAAAATTTCAATTCGTCAGACTCTAACTTAAAATTTGCACTGAATCTACAAAAACAAACCTCTCCCGTTTAGTTAGTGGTGAATTGGCTTCTTGTTGAATAGTGATATTAGAAGAAATACTTCTTCTATGGCTAGTATTAGGAGTATTCCCCAAAGTTCTTTTGCTGTTCTCCAAATGAAGTTCTTCACTGGAACCATTCTCGTGTTGATTATCACTGCGGGGCGAAGAATGATGTTGATTGCAAGAACCAAAAATTGTTGAATCATTGATAGTTTTTTTACTACCATCTCTGGTTAAGAAAGAAAAATGCTGCTGTTAACATTTTTTATCTGGCTAATATACTTAGGACCAGGAAAAGCCTTAGAACTTGACCAAAAACAAGGATTTTCAAATATATTCCAAGAAAGTTTGCGATAATTTATTATTGATAGGCTAAGAAACCATTAATATATAAAGAAATGATAGTCTGAATCACAGCAACAAATGATTTACGTTGTGTCATTAGCTTTGAAGTCAATGGAGGGTGAAGGAACTGATTGACTCCGCATCATGCCATTCTCTTCCTGAAAACACATTGAGATTGTTATGAACCGAAATTAAAATATTAACATGCTGGCAAAAGGACAAGAGCATATTAACATACGATATCTGAAATTTCTGTAGAATTTTGACATTGTAATTTCTTTTCTTGCACATCAAGTGCAGACAAGCAATTGGAGCTCCCTACTTCACAGATTTCACTTATGGACTCTTCAAATTCCTGAACCTAATTGTGAACAAAATAGTACATATATCATAACATCTCAAGATCATTTATGTTGCCAAAAAAAGAAGAAGAAGAAGAAGAATAAATGTTGAACGATTTAATAGTACCAGAGCTGCCTGAGCCTTTAAATCATCAAGGTTGAAGTTCCATCCACTAATCCCTCGTTTATATTCACTCTGTGTAAGTTACCAAAAAGATGTGTAAAGACTAGGGAAAGAAAATTCTAACTGTGTCAAGGACACAACTCTGTCGACAATTTACAGCTCCCACAACATTATGGCACAATTAGTCAATATATCAACATTCTTATTTTCATCAAAAAAAAAAAAAAGTATACATACCTGTGACAATTCTTCCTTCTTTCCATCTGGCATCTTCTTTTGTGCAAGCATATCTTCTTCCTTTCTCTGTGATTAAAAAATTGCCCTTAATAAGCAACTTTAAACAAATACAATAAAATGGAATTGTCCTTGTTCGTATTATCAAAATAAAATTCCAACCTTAAGTGCCTTTATACGATCACCAAGAACAGGCAACCCTTCCAAAAGGGTACGTGCAATGTAATCACTTGATCGGGCTTGCTTAAAAAATGAATGCTTTAGCAGCTTACTTGCAGAAGGTCGTTTTGAAGGATCTTTTACCAAGCAACTAGCAATCATCTGCTTAAAAGACTGAGAAGAGGAACAAGGAATCAACATTATACATATCTACACCAACTTGAAACACATTCTAAATCCAAATTTAAAAAACTGTACCTTCGAAAATTTTTTATCCCTCTCATAATCAAGGCCTGGAGGTGCATTTTGCAAGGTCATCATCAGAACCTATAGTAGCCATTTTCTCACTCAATATGTTAAATTCTGACATTTTGAAAGATCAAGTAATAGCACATGATATTCAATAATAGTGCACCTTCATTGGAGGATATTTTGAGAAAGGAGCATGGCCATGGGCAAGCTCTAAACCAGTTATGGCAAAAGACCAGATGTCAGCCCTATCAAAAATATTGTGAACCAATGTTAGTAAGCAACTTTGTTGTCTAAGAGGGAAAGAAAGGAATAAAAACTATGGGAGGATTATGACAGTAATTCATGAAGAAAAAAGACTAACTTGAAGTCATAACCATTTAGTTGCTCCATAACCTCAGGTGCCATCCTGAAATATAGAGACAGCTTTTTATTAGGAAACAAAGTGATAAAACTGCCTTGATGAGAGATCACAATCCATTCTGTTATACAACCATTTGTTCATTAGAAACTGAAAACTTTGAAATTTTAATCATTCCAGTAAAGAGATCATAAAGGCTCTCAACGATTCAAACACGATAGAACTAGAAACTCGATGGATATAGATGCATATAACAGTGTATATATACCAGCAAGGTGTCCCCACGAATGTATTCCTCGCACGTTGCCTATCGCCTGAATCAAAAAGGCAAGCAGAAACACCAAAATCCCCTAGCTTGATTGCGCCTCGTGAATCAATAAGAATATTCCCTGCCTATAATGAATGAATCATAAATCATAAATAAATAAAAATAGAAGCTAAATATTATTCCTTATCAGAGTGTTATTTAGTGGAGTTCCTAGCTACTTATTTCATTAACTTCATGGAACACGAGTGAGTTATGGTTCAGATGGGGGATTAAATAATAAACCATTCGGACTCAGCTCCATATCATTGGCAAATAACAGGCAACTTTAATTGTAAGTTCTTGATATTAGCGACTTTCTCTTCTGCTCACATCAAGTTGGATGAAGAAAGAAACAAATTCTTTTGAAGACAACTTTAGCATTCATCCATAACATTTATTCTCCTTTCTTCTAATTCTGCCTCATGTACAGTATTATTCCATTTACTTCATGATATTATGCAGTTACTAGACATGTCAGCAGAATTGGACGGCATAAAATAGTTATTATGGACACACTAGCAAGAACCTGAAGAAAGATGGAGATAAATTCTAATTATATAACTAATAACCACTGCCTTACGGGGGGAATTACCAATGTACTTTGAGAGACACCATAATACATCAAAATTGGTATATAAGATCTTCGATTCTCACTTTTACATCCCGATGTATATGTCCATGACTATGAAGATATACAACGCCCTTCAATACTTCTCGTAATATAGTTGCTATGGCCACTTCCTCAAAACCATCAGGATATGCAGCCTTCAATATGTGAAGACATGAACCCCCAGCCATGTAGGGCATAACAATCCACAAATTGTGGCCATTTACAAAGGAGCAGTGTGATTTAAGAACATTGGGGTGGTCAACCAAGATCATTGTCTGTACTTCACGATAAATGCTAGCCTGTGACGGTACAATTAAGAAGTTAAGCAATTGTATCAGGACTGTGACAATATAGATAAGAATTAAGCAAATAGATCACAAGTACATCTGTATGCAGAAACATCAAGATATCAATGCGAGCACTTTGAATTGTGAAAGGCAACATAATCTCCACGTAATGGAAGAAAATCACCATAATCCATTTACAAAGAAAACTTGAACAGAAATTCTCTTCCGTCATGAATGATAAAGAACAAGTTATCAATCTGAGCCGCTTTCTAATTTGCAGACCTCTAATTTTCATGCCTCGTCAATATTACCATTTTATTTACTAAAAGAAAATTTACATGGTAAAGTTTCCACATCAACCTATATCACTCAAATTGAATCACCCCGATTTCAACAAATAAAATGAATTTACACCTTGAAATACATTCAGTCGCAAGGCCATCCGGGTTTTCTAAAAAATATAATAACATGTTACCCCTCTGATTATAATTTATAGCATAGTTTTTAGTTCGTCCGCCAGGTAGGGGATACAAAACCTTGCTCGAATCAAATTTTTTTTATCAGGAAAAATCCATTTGCTCAATCGAAAATTTTGGATCCCCGCCGACATAAAAAAAAACAATTGATATTTTAGAAGCACCCCGACGCATAGCAGCTAATCTTTCACACTATTAACAATATATATAAATAATGTTAACAAAAATTGCAATTCGAAGCAATTTACCATACATTGTTCTCTGAAATCGCTGAGCAGTAGAATACAAAAGAAAACAGAGAGGTCATTTAATGAATACGTAAGAAGTACCAGATCACAATTTTCGCGCTCAAAATCGAGGATCTTGATGGCGACGATCTCGTCGAGAGGCTTACACAGAGCACGGTGGACTGCAGCACTCACGCCCTGCCCAACCTCCTCATACAGAGTATAGAACTCTTGTCCTATCGGATAAGTCTTCCTCTCCATCTCAATGCCCTACTTCTACTTCTACGAGCTCGATTTATCACCAAATTGACCTGCAAAAACTGCGAAACCGATGGAGAACAAAACGAATGGTAAATACAAATCAAATGGTGAAGAAGCTGGATTGCAATTGAAAAACAGAAACAAGAAGGTTGATCGCGTACGTTTCTAACGGAATTGAAAATATCAACAAATTGGCTATATATGCATATAATATCGGAATTGAAAAAGGAAATAGAAAAGGAAATTAAAAAGGTAATAATGCATTGATGAGGGAGGATGAGGATTACCAGTTTAAGGGATTCGATTTTGGAAGGTCGCTATTTCGATCGCTTTCTCGTGAATCTTGGGGGAAAAGGAGAGAGAAGAGAGAGCTGGATTTTTGTGTATGAATTGTTCACTCTGATTGAAAAAATTTTTTAGAGAGAGAAAAAAGATCAGAGCGAAGAAATCGGATCGGTCCCTTAAAACTCTGAAGAACCAAAGGTTTGTATGAAATTGCATGCAAGTCTCCCGCCATTTGTTTCTGCTCACTCAAAATTTCTTATTTATTTATTGGTCATTAATTATCTTCCTTTTCATAATCTTTATATTTATATTATAATTAATTTGGAATAATTTTTGTAATTTTGATTTTTTTTTATCATTTACTTAACCTGTATATTGATCACTTGTATTGTAATCAGCACCCTCCTCGAGAGATATATATTTCTAGAATAATTGAATGCAGGTATTAATTTTTTTGGAAGTAATTAATGCAGTAAATGAAAAAAGTATTTACAGTATATTAAAATATTACTAAGAATAAATATATGTGATGATTGGATGAAGATAAATTTTTATTAAAATTCACCGAATAAATGTTGGATTGTATATATTGTGATTAGTCTGATTAGTTTTACGTTTTATTTGGTAGATCGTCATTACTGAATTTGATTTTATTTTATTTACATCGTCAATTTAAGATGGTAGAATATTAAAATATTATATATGTGAACGGAAAAAATACTTATTGAAAATAAGATTAAAGGAAAAAATATTGAAAGAAGAAAGATCGAAGAGTTAATTTATATAATTTTTATATTAAATGTGATTACATTCATTAAATATAAGAAGAGTTAATTTAGAAATTAAAAAAAAAGTTGTTTTGTCTTCTACATTCAATATTGAGTAGAGGTTATTTAGAGTCTCAATGTATATTTTCAAACGTTTATATACTTGTGATTTAATCGCTTCTTCATAATTAACCAAAATATATTTTATTCTCAAATATAATGTATTTTATTTAAAAATATTAGAGGAAATATTTAATCCGTATTATTTATACTAATAGTACTTTTTAATTTTTAAAAGATAGGTATTTTGTTTTTTTTATTTGATTATGAATTATTTGGTGACTTAGTACTTATTAAAATTTTTTAATCATAGCTTTAGGGTATTACAAATAGTATCAGTATGAATGAGTCGATAACACTGAATAAGAGTGATCTTGAGATCATAAAAACAGGGTTAAGAAAGACTTAAAATAATTGATAGTTAATACCTACCTTGACAATGTGCACCTTCCTTTTTCTTAGGAAGTATATTGTATGAATAATCTCGCTCTCCTAAGTAACTCACAATTAGGTGCTGAATCTTTGGCCTAAGGCATTAAAATTACTTGTTACCAAGTGTTAATTCAAGCCTTATTTTGTTAAATCGTTTATCTAATTTTTTTTAGTTGCTAATTAATATTTCTAAGTTATTGGTATTGTTTAGCGAGTATTGAAGTGATGATAGGTAGATTACGACTTTGTTTTTGTTACTATAACTAAACTTCAATATATACTTAGCACCTATTTTTCAAGAGTTGAGTGAGGCGATCACCATGTGCCAAACCACCCCATGGCTACCACATCTAGTTGACAGCACGAGCTGATTTTACACAAATTGCAAAAGAATAAGGAATGACTGTGGACATGGGAGAAGAAGAAGAAAAAAAAAAGATGGGGCTCATTGGTCCAAATGACTGAGAAATTTTTATTTTTATTTTGTTCAGTACAACATGTTGAGGTGGGAGATCGAACTCACAACTTTTTAGTTTTAGTTTGAGATATATACCGATTATCGCATCGCTTGGGCATGACTAAGATAATTTGAGAGATAATAGATTCAAAGTTCATGTTGGTCACCTACTCCTTACTAAAAAAGATTTACTCAAACAAATAGATATTTCTTTTCCTTTTGACTACAATAATTTGGAAACATAGAGGATTGAACCTCCAAACCTCGACAAAAGGAGTATGTACAAATTACCGTTGAATTATACTTATGTTGACACTTAAACAAATAAATTTAAATCATATCTCGAGATATTTTTCCCTCATTTTCTTAGCAACTAGGGAAAGAGACTTGCCCCAATTTGATGACATTTGAGATATCTAAAGTAGCTTGCTATCCATTTTACTAGAGTAAAATTATTGTGGTTGATGGAAAGTAGAAATAGCATAGGGTAGAAGGATATAAAATTGTCGTTTAAAGTTGATAGAAGTTAAAAGACCCATTTAGGGTTAAGAAAACATCCAAGTTGGACCAAAGAGATAACTTGACTTTGGAAAAACTAATTAAAGTAGCATTATTTTTAAAAATAGTTTATATTTTAATAATTAATTATAATATATGTAAATTCATGTATTGTGTAAACTCATAAAAAATCTATTTTAATATTCATGGACTAAGAGGATATCGTCTAAGAAAAGGAGAGAAGAGTCGCGCCCAGGCCAGGTGACTCCTGCGAGGTAATTACTTCAACTCAAATAAAAATGCTTCATTCTCCAAAATTACTTGTATTATTGTTTATATCGTTACAGTTATGTATATTCTTGTTTATATGGTTATGGTTATAAACATTTTCTTGTTCATATAGTTGTGGGAGGTGGGGATTCGTATCAAATTAGAATGCCGCCATTAAATGCGATACCTTTAGGACTGTCAGCTTTCGACTCCTAGGGAGAACTCAATCTAAATCTAAATGATTTTTTATGCGTGTCTGATGTCTTTAGGCTCAACGATTTAGAAAAGACACCTACTTACCAAGTTCTAAGTGGCAAGATCAATGAAAGAAAATATCCGAGAACTCGAAAAGTTTATTAAGCAAGGGTGCGTTAGCTAACTCCCTTCCCTTCTACAAAATTATAATTTTAAATAATAAATATTAGGTTTAAAAAACACTAAAAAACAATAAAACAAACACATACAAGTATAACCTTTTGAAAATTATTAAAAACTTAAAATCTATCTTTAGCTCGTTTCAAGTTTCTCTTGGAAAAAAAGAAAACTCGTCCATTATATTTTGTCACGTGCGCTGCCCACAGGTACTATTATTTTTAGTGTGAAATAGGGAAAGCTAGTGCCCAACTCTCCGGTCGCGGTCTTCTTCCAGCCAAATCTAGGGTTCTCTCCGATCTCTGCTGCGTTTCAGGTTCCTTGCCCCTGAAACGCCGTCGTTTTTGTTCCTAATTCGTCGAAATGAAGCTCACTGTGAAGACTCTCAAAGGAAGCCACTTCGAAATTAGGGTTCAGCCCACCGACACCGTAAGTTCTAACTTTTCTTTTCCCTCCTCGATTGCTTCATGCGACTGTTTGCGCTTGCAGTTTATTTATTAATGTAGCTGAGGACGCAAGCATTGACCAGCTGGCTTTCTTTAGCTTAGTTTAATTCATCGCGATTACTTTAATTGTTTGTTTATTTTTTAAAATTATGATTATAGAATTGGAATAATGTGAAACTACGAGGTGAATTGTTTGGAACTGAAAAGATTTTTAAATTAGGGTTTATTGTGTTACTTAATTTGGAAGCTGCTTTTTCTTTCTGAACGACGATCCCCAGAAATTTGTTTATCTGTATTTGCCGTGATCTGCTGGATTCGCATTGTTTGAACACGAGTTGGAGAACCCCAAAATGTAGTGGAACGGACTGTGCTTGTTGAGGATGCCGCTGTACTAGTTGATTTTGACAGGCAGACTTAAATGGGTTTTTTATTATTATTTTTTTAATTATATAATTTTTGGTTAAGGTTATGGCTGTCAAGAAAAATATTGAAGATATACAAGGAAAGGATAATTATCCTTGTGGTCAGCAATTATTGATTCACAACGGGAAAGTTCTGAAAGATGAAAGTACTCTGGCAGAAAACAAAGTATCCGAAGAGGGCTTTCTAGTTGTAATGCTCAGCAAGGTAATCTTTGGTCCTATAATTTTTTTATACAAGAAGTCTCTAAAGATATGGTTTTATTTGGACTTTAATAGATGGCTGAAATGTCAAATATGGTCATGCTCTTTCCATGTTGTTGCCTTAATTGTAATGTGTTTGCTTCTACTGCAGAGCAAAACATCAGGCTCAGTAGGGCAGTCCTCGACTCAGGTAATATTTGCTCATTCTCGTTGCCAATTGGTTATTATTTTCTCATGTTAACCTCCTTTGGAACCTTTTTTTTGCAGCCTGCTCAAAGCCCTCCTGTAGCTCAACCAGTTTTAAATTCAACTCCGACAACTCAAGTGACACCATCACCGACTCCTGCACTCCAAGCTCCCACGCAAGCACCGTCGTCGTAAGTTTCTCAAGAGTGATCTTCTTTATGCATTTTTCCTTGATCAGTTGAATAATCATAATCCATATTCCTTTTTTGTTCTTGTTTTCTAGTGCCCCTAGGAACACTACATCTACTTCAGACAGGGTGGCAGATAAGTATGGCTTCTATTTCCTGTTGATATATTTTTAACTTCAAGAGGCCGGAATTGGCCAATAAACCACATACTATTTTCTAAGAATATATCTAAGCTATAACAATGTCAAATATATTAAAAGCTACAGACTGAACGTATTTTTTTCAGAGTTCTTGATTGTAAACTATTGTGATTCGGGACCAACAGCTGATATTATTAGGCTACGTGCAATATGTTTCCTCCTCTCTGGGTTTAATGTACGAAGAAATTGGCTTGCTGGTGAGAAAGTTTCAGACTTTTTTTTGGGGATCTTTTGCAGTGTGCAGACAGATACATATGGTCAAGCTGCTTCAAATTTGGTCGCTGGTAATAACCTGGAACAGACTATTCAACAAATAATGGATATGGGGGGTGGCAATTGGGACAGAGAAACAGTTGTTCGTGCACTAAGAGCTGCTTATAATAATCCAGAGCGAGCAGTGGACTACTTGTACTCTGTATGTCTAAATCGTAATGTGTGAGTTTTTTTGAAACCTGTTTTGAATATTTCCAGTCACCGAGGGTGTTCTTCGTGTTCAGGGTATTCCAGAAACAGCAGAAGTTGCAGTCCCAGTGGCTCGCTTCGGTTCTGGTCAAGCCACTGAAACTGATGCATCTCTCGCTGCACCTGCCTCTGGAGCACCTAACACAGCCCCCTTAAATATGTTTCCTCAGGTGAAAATTTGGATGCATGAAGAAGGACACTTTGTTTGTTTGCTTGCATTTACTTATTTTTAATGGGTGGCAATCACGTGCAGGAGGCCCTTTCTGGTGGTGGTGGTGGTGGTGGTGGTAACCTTGGATCTCTTGAATTCCTTAGAAACAATCCTCAGGTAACTAGTGGAATATCATTTATGGGGTTTTGCTGATTGATAAGCTCGTTAGCTTTCTATACTAGAGTTTTTGGTGCATTGAGTTTAAAAATCTAAAGTTGTTTGGACTTCGAAGTCTTCTTACAACAAATACTTGTGTTAGTTTGCATCTCCTTTCTGCATTGATTCAAATAAAGTATAGCAATTAAAAAGTCATAGACATTTTTTTTATAAGAAACCTGAGACTTGTATTACTCACAAAAAAGAACAACCTAGGGGCAGGGGATGAGATAACCCCCCTCCCAAGGAACTAACACAAGAAGGCCTTCCAATCAGTTAAAGATTCTATATGTGGATTGCTTTAGCTCAGTCATATCAGTCGATTATATCCATATCGTTTGAACAAATGCTTGCCAAAATCTTGTTCTCTTTATTGCTTATGGGCTATGGATTTGAATACAACTTAAATGTGAAGTAGTTACTGAATGATATTTGTTATCATTTCCTTGTTCACTTTCTAGTTCCAAGCCCTGCGAACGATGGTGCATACAAATCCTCAGATCTTACAGGTATACACCCTTCTGCCTTCTGCTTTGCAATTTACTTGGTGAATTTTGTCATGGTTTGTCCAAGAGTTAAATCTTTTGCTTCTGATGGCAGCCCATGCTTCAAGAACTTGGCAAGCAGAATCCCCAGCTCTTGAGACTCATTCAAGATCATCATGCAGAGTTCCTTCAGTTAATTAACGAACCTCTCGACAATTTTGAGGGGTGAGTCTTTCTTTGCTGTCATCTGGTTAATTTTAGATCTTGTTAACTTGAAACCTCCTAGTTCTGCAGTTCTTCAGATGTGATTGGTCATGGGTCCTTTTTGTTGTCGTTAATCATGGTTTATTATTAATCTAAACATGATCCATTGCCTAGAAACCCCTTCTCAGATTTTTTTTCCCAACTCCAATGCACGGTGCTTCTCTGAAGTAAGGTCCCTGTGTGGGGATAATAGTAGATAATCAAGTCAGGTGTATTAATGAAAGGAGAATCTTCTGCATTCTTCTTGTTACCGTTTATCTTTGTTGTTAAACTACATCACCCATCCAGAGCAACTTGGCATTACACCACTCCACAAGCATGGAATTTGAGCATGATGCTGTATGTAAATACCCGGCATTCGACCCTAGGCTGGACAGTTTATTTATTTATTGTCTCTGTAAAGTAATAATCATGCTTAAAAGCCCGAATGGATCAGGTTACGTTTCTATCTGATAGGTAATTGTCATCCGTAAAACAGTGTTGTACTCAGGATGTCGTTCAATCGCTACATCTATGTATTTAGAACTGTAAACTTTTTCTCTCTCTTTCTTTCAGAGATATGTTTGAGCAGGCTGAGCAGGACATGCCTCATGCCATTAATGTCACCCCAGCTGAACAGGCAGCCATTGAACGAGTATGAACTCTATATTCCTTGAGTTCTTTAAACTGTATTTATGATGTACTTAGCTTTTTACTTGTTCCCTTTTGTAGCTCGAGGCAATGGGATTTGATAGAGCCTCAGTCATCGAGGCATTTTTGGCGTGTGATCGCAATGAGGAACTAGCAGCTAACTACTTACTGGAGAATTCTGGAGATTTTGATGATTAACGAATGAGCGATTAATGTTAACCGTGCTGGATTCATTATTTTTGGTGCTGAGATGAATTGGTAACCTTGTCACAGCATTCTTCACTTTCTGAGTCTTCTTTGCATTGCATTTTATATACGGTACTAATAAATTAGGAAAATTAATTCTTCAAGCATGGTCGTTTCGATTTAGAGAATTGGAATTTTATGTCTCATTTGTTGCTAACTGGTTAGCATTGGAGATAGAACTTAAGATTTCAAAATTCTTCCTTTTTTTTTTTGTTTAATGTAAATATTATTGTCGAAAAATATTGACAGATTTTTGACATCTATATATCATGGTTATTGGAATGTTGTATCTAATTATATTTAGTCGGCTCAGTTGAGAAACAATTGAGTTGTTTTTCTTAACAAAATTATGGGCTCGTGAATATTAGTTTTAAGTGAACAATAATTTCTTAAAATCATTTGATTAATATAGGTTTAAAATGATATTTTCAAAATGTTAACAATTTTCTTCAAATTAGAAAATGGTTTTCTAAATGATATTTTTATATCACTGCAAAATAATCTTTGACCAATCTTGCAGCTATTCAAACCAAGTAAACTTTTACCATATCTTTTTCATTTAAGTGTCTTGATTGCTTTTGAAAACCGTCCAAAGAGGTCCAAGTTGTCACCAAAGGCGAGAGTCATGTTTGCTAGAAATTTAGTTTGTTTGATTGGTGATCTGTGATCTAATGAAAAATAGAATTGTATTTCATGTTTTTTGTATTTTCAAAAATGTGTTTATGACATGATAAATTATATTCATCGAAGTTTTTATTATTATTATTTTTAATGTAATTATGTATTTTACGATTTTAATTTCAAAATCTAGAAACATTGAAAATATAAAATTGTTGTTTTTAGAATTTTTGTTATTTGGATGATAGAATTCGAAAAAGGTTTTCAAAAACAAATTTGCCAAGCCTAGAAAATTCGACCATACTATCAACAATCACAAAAGAGTTACAACTTGCCAAACTTTGCTGTAGTATTTTCCTATATCTTTTATTTGCCACTGATATTATGTCAAGCATCCTATAAATTGTTGAACTACACATCTTAAAAGACTAAAAATCATTGTCATACAGAAAATGAACATTTGGTCTTGATGATTGTATATTAAGACACTATTGTTGTTGAAACGTATAAAAAAGAATGATAGCTTTGCGTGGAGAAATCTCTTATTCCATTGACATGAAATATACATGTTCATATATAGGTATTAGAGCTTAACTGCTAGCTAACCCTACAAATGAAAACTAATTCAATAACAAAATAACAATTTTAGGTCAGGTTTTCTATTTTCCCTTTTTAGTTCAAAGGAGAGGAGAAAAGAGATTCGGGGAAAAATTTAGTCAAAATATGATTAAAAGTTTTGAAATACAACGGCTAAGATTAAGTTACCAAGTTTGGTCTAATACTTCATAAAAAGTTCTTAGCAATTCGTTCAACTTTTAAGTTTGTTTTTAGCAACTTTGGTATCAATTTTATTTGAGAAATATGTGGCAAGATGTTATTGTATATGCCTATATGTTTGGCATGTAAACATAAAACTCATAAAATTAAAAATATAGATCGTTTAGGCGCACTATTAAAATTATAAGTTTGATCATTGAACTTTTTCAAACTAATATCTGTTTAATTCATGCACTTTAATAGATTTTTGAACTTTCAGAAATAATTTTAATAGGTGGTATTGAATTTTCACTTTTGTATCTAATGGTTCATGCCCAGCTCGATATTAGCTCACCATGTAGTCCTCAAAATAATATAAACAAATGTGACATATAAGCATACCCAAAAAATTAACAAAAGACACTATTAAACACAAAAGTGAGAGTTCAAGCACCTATTAAAAAAAAAACTTTAAAGTAAGTAACTAAATACACACAACCTTAAATAAAATAACAAATGTTAAATTACAAATTTAGTCCTTAAACTATTAAGGTTCTATCTGATAGTTCTTTGTACTTAAAAGAGAACTGTGTAATAGGTCTATAAATTTCGAGTTTTGTTTCTAATAGATCATTAACAAATCATTAGACTTTCGATTTTGTGTCTAATAATACCTTAATCTTTCAATTTTATGTTAGATAGGTTTATGAATTAAAAAAAAAATCTATAAGTCATGTATCTCTCAGACAATGTTCAAGAACCTACACTACATTCAAAAGTTTAGGGTGCATTTGGTTGGTAATAAAAAACAAAAATTTGAAAACAAGGTATTCAATGAAAACCAGAGTAGTTATATTTTTGTTTTCAGATATGTGTTTGGTAGCAGATTTGGTAATTGAATCTCAATTTAAAAAATTGTTCAACGTTTATTTAGCAATATATTTGTAAATTAGAAGTAGTTACAAACTAAATTTTAGTATAATCTAAACTTATATTAATTAATTTATTAACATTTTTTATGAATTTTGTATAATTATTATTTTACTGGTTATTTAATTTAGAATACAATTATATTTTACATGTTTCAATTTTAACAAGCATAAAATGAGTTTATAATATGAAGTAATATATTTTATCAAAGTTTTTATCTTTTTAACGTAATTATGCATCTTAAAAATTTCAAATTCTGAATCTGAAAATATTGAAAACATAAAAAAGTCATTTTCAGAATTTCTCAGAATCCAAAAACAATTTTCAAAAACGAATCTCAAGCAAATGCCTATTAGCTGAATCCATTTGATTTAGTGAATCTGAAAAGAAAAAACAGAATCCGAATTTCCAACAAAACGAGTCTTTTAAGAACTTAGTATATTTTACAAAGTTGAAAGTTTAGAATTAAACTTGTAATTTAAAATATCAGTTGAATATTGTAATTATAAAGAAAAGAAAATGCAAATTGGAATTGAAAAAAAAAAAGAGAAAATGAAAAAAAAAGAAGGTCAATTGATAAAAAAAGATTCCAAAAGGCGAAAGAAAGAGCGTGGACAGCCAATCCCGAGCATTTTGTAACCTTTCTAAAACCGTGACCCACGGAGAAATATTTGTTTGTGCGGTCCTGCCAATTGCCAAAACACCCTTCTCTCTCTCTTCGAAGAACAGCAAAAACCGGGAAACAAATTCCCATCTCCATTGGCGCTTCCATCCAATTCAGTCCTCTTTAATCAACTGTAAGATTCGTTTCTTGTTTCTTCTCTCTTTCGTTTCTTGTAATTTGTAAATCTGTCGTCTCTATCAGATCTGGTCTTATGGTTCCATTTTTTCCTGCATAATAAGAGAAGCCTTTTGTCTTCCCCTGTTTTTCTTCTCTTTCATTTGGTTTTTCGTCGAATTTTACCGAATGTCGCGGTGTTTGTTGCGTTTTCCATCATTTTTGTTTGCTGGAGCTGATTGTTGCCAGAAGGCTCAGATCGAATGGATCGGATTTGAATTTTCCATCTGTTTTAGGCGTCATTTTGTAGAGTGATTTTCACTCTGTTACGAATTCGCATGCATTTTAACAAATTCTTGAGGATGTGGAGATGTTTCGTTTGTATAATCTGGTTTTTAATTGTAGAGCATGAGCAATGTTTATGGATTTGGAATTAGGTCGGCTGATAATATCAGATGTGGCGTCTGAACACGGGAGTTTTAATCATAAACAATTTGCTTGTTTGAGGTTACAGAAATTATATTCAGACTCCTGGGATCTCTTCGGCTTTTGCCTAATGTTGCTTTAACTCCCGCATATGGTTTAATGGAACAATTCGTTGTCTTGGAATGAGTAGGAAGTTTTTTAGTTTAGGTCGATTTATATTGGTTATTTGCTGCTTTTTGCCTAAAGATCCGTGATATTTATTTATAATTTTTTTTTTCCTGTTTTGACTCCAAATTTGGACGGGTCAGAAACTTAGAAGAGACAGCTTGAGTCATATAGCTGAGACATAATGTTAACTTGAAAATATGGAAATTTCAAGTCTAATTGTTTCTTGACATATGAGTTCATCACCCTTGATACCAAGTTAAAAGTTCTGTTCTGCCGTGTCATTGTTGTTTAAGTTTCTCCGGCGAGCCTTCAACTTCAAAAAAATCTACAAGTTTTAATTTACCAATATATGATACAAGCTTCGTTTCAAACTTGCATTTTATCTTCCTATGAATCACCAAATCTGTCGGTTTCAATCTTCAAGAAGTAACTCTTTATCTTAGCTTTCGATGATATTGTTTCAAAATGCTTTGTTACATTCTCATCTGTTCTGATGGATTCTTATTTTATTGAAACACACTTGTTGAAGAAAATGGCTCTTGTGATTAGATTATCCGTCTAAAAATGGTCACTTTTTTGCTTTTGTAGACGGTTCCGTGTTTGGTGCTAAACCTGAGACCACAGGGGAAGATTAGAGCTCTAGAACATGGTTCTTGACAGCATTCTAGCCTCTCCCCATAGGAGGTCCCCATCATTCAGAAAGCAGTTTCCTGCAAATGAGTTGGGCAGTTGGTCTGTTCTCTTCAATCGGCATCGCTTCCTCTTAACCGCGCTGGCACTCTTGACTTTCCTTTGCACAATTTATCTCTACTTTGCAATCACTCTAGGGGCTACCGCGTCGTCTTGTTCGGGTTTGACTGGAGCTCAGAAAGAACTGTGTCGTATGGAGCATGCTAAGGCTTCTCTGGCTAAAGGCAAATTGAAATTTCTATGATACGTAAGACCTCCTCGAGTTACAACACCTTCTCATGTATTGGTTCTTCTCTTTGGGTGGGACCTGTATTTATAAATCATCAACTGAAGATTATTATTATATACCAAAAAGTTCATTCATCCATTTTGATTCCATACATATGACTTATATAAGATGTAGCAGAGTGTCATAAACATTGCCTCCTTGCATTAATCTGTTCTTTATTTTTTTCCTTTGCTTCTTTTTATGTGATGATGGTTTACATTAAAACTTCAATCAGAATCTTTAAATTGCTGTGAGATAATACTTGATGGTTGGGAACTGCTTCTCATACCCTACCTTATTTTGACTTCACCTACAATCTTTGACTACTGTTCATACCCTACTTTACTTTTGCTTCACCTAAAATCTTTGACTTTTGAATCCTATATTCAGTAGACTCTTGTAGATTATCCTTAGAATATACCCTTTTTTTAAAAGGTTGGGAAGAGTATAAATTGCACTAATGTTAAAATTCATTAACTAAATAATCTTAGGTCATTAAAATGTATTGTAATAGTTCATGTAAATAGTAGTGATCTTGGCAATGAAAGATTTGATTTTGGTTCCGAAAATTACTTCCAAACATGTAGTTATTCTGAGTTACTAGCTAATTGGAAATCTACCTTGAATTCGACATTTAAAAGTTTGGAGTTTGGTCAATTGTTATGAAATCCAGACTCATTAAAAATGTTAATGTATTTTGAAAAAATGATATATGATTTAATTTTTTTACACCATTCTTTTAATATCGAGTGAATTTTGTTTTAAAATTTAATATGTTAGTAATAAGTTAACCAAAAAAAAAAAAAAATCAAACTGTAAAAGGAAATGTACTTCGAAGGATGGAAAACAGATGCAATAGTCACACTAATAGGAGACATTGCCCTTGCTTTAGACACAAATGATTCTTTTACCATCGTGATTTCATAAAGTTTTTACTATCAACATGAAAAATTAAATATTAAAATGATGTGTTTAATGGACTCTATTTATTTATTTTTTCTTGAGATNATATTCCATATTCGTGTACTAAAATACTAAAATAGATAGTATAAATTTGAAGGAACTCGTTAAAACTCTTTTTTTTTTTCGTTTGAGTGAATTAAATAGAATATACTTATAAACTCTCTAATTTTCACGAAAAAAAATTCGCTCATTAATAAAAATGACAATTTGGCTTTTAAAATTAAAAAGAAAGCTTTAACATTTCTCATTTTTCCTCTCTCTCCCTCCTTGTTTTAAAAATTAGAAATTTAGAAATAACTTATTGGTCGAGTTTCAATTTCTGTTAACTTTTTGTCCCGTCCGAAAAAGGAAAAACCCAAATTTATATAATATATATTTTATCAAATTAAATTTAAATATATTATGCTGTAAAATGCTATCATCTAATTTAACTGAAATCAGTATTCTTCACTCCAAAAAACAATTATGTAATTTCTCCGAATTGTTTTCTCAAAAAGGAAAAAAAAAACTCCGAATTGTCGAAGAAAATGGCCGAAATTGAAAATAAAAGAAAACCAGAAACAGAGTCAACATTTTCCCAACTCTCGAGTCAAAATCAACACTCGAGCCCAAACCCAATTCACTTTCTTCTGTGAAATCCCAAATGGAAGATGATGAAGATGAAACAAATGGAGCTTCCCAATTGATCAAGGAAACAAATTCGAGTTCTCTGCCGGAAACCCAGAAGCTTTCAAAATCGCCGTCGCTGGACGAAATGGAAGACGAAGATGGAAGAATTCGCTCGAAAGAGAGGAAGAAAGTAAAAAGAAGAGGCATGTGGAATTCAATTCGGAATCCGTTCAAGTGGTTGAAAATGTTGAGCGATAAATTGCATTGGAGTTTTGTTTTGGGAGTGATTTTTGTTTATGGAGTCAGCCAAGGGCTTGGTGCGGGGTTGAGTAAACTCAGTATTCAGTATTATATGAAGGATGATCTGAAAGTTGAGCCCTCAGAATCGCAGATATATTTTGGGATTATCATGATTCCTTGGATTATTAAGCCTCTGTGGGGTTTCATTACTGATACTGTCTCCATTCTTGGCTACCGTAGAAGGCCTTATTTTGTTTTTGCTGGTAATAATCTCTCTCTATGCATTTTCCTTTTACCTTCTATTCTCATTTCCATTGCTGGTTCTGCTGAAGAAGAAAAAGAGAAGAAATACAGATATGGGCTGATACTGAGCTTTAACGCTAAGCTTGGGCAATTTTTCTGCTGACTTGATTAAGTTTACTTGGTATGCTATCTTGCTTAGTTGTATGCTAGATTTCTGATCAATTTTGGATGTTAATAAGCTGAGATCTCACGAATGTTGGAGACAATAGGTACTAATTACACATTTAAATTCTTAGCCGAATTTCAAAAACAAGAACAAATTCTTAAAAATTATATATATATTTTTAATTTTCAAAAATTGACTTCAATTTGTAGAACTTATAACAGAAAAAAGAAACACATAGGGAGAAAAGTAGTGTTTCTAAGCTTAATTTTTAAAAACAAAATGGTTATCCACGGGCCTTTAATAAATTAAAACTCAAGTTCTCTCGAATCTGGCTTCGGTTGGTGAAACTTTTCGAGAATTAGTGCTGTGTGCCATTCTCACGTTTTACATTTGTTTTGGAAAACTTTCCAAAAATTGATGATGAACTCTGTATGTGAAGAATTCAATCACGAATCATACAGTTTTGGTGCATCCTAACTGACAACTTTATTAGTGATTCAAAATATGCTTCTATAGATTGTAGGATAAACTGATATGTTAAAGAATGAAGCCAATAACTTGCTAATAGCAAGGGCATTTTCTCTATCATTTTCAGGTGTTCTTGGAGGGATATCTATGCTTCTGCTGTCACTGTACAAGAACTTGCCTCTTGCACTCGTTTTGCTAAATTTAATGGCAGGAAGTGCTGGAATAGCCATAGCAGATGTCACCATTGATGCCTGTGTGACCCAAAACAGTATAAGCCATCCCTCGCTTGCTGGTGATATGCAAAGCTTATGCGGAATGAGTTCTTCGGTTGGATCACTTGTCGGGTTCGCAGTCAGTGGCTTTCTCATTCATCTACTAGGACCTCGGGTGAGATTCTTCTCTTCCCAACATCATATTATTGCCTTGTCTCAATCTGCCACAGATAATTTGGTCTTATTATCAAACAGGCCTTGGTCAAATAATAAAAGTGTAAATGTTAATAATTTGAAAAAGGAGAACATTTTGAACTTAATTGTAACTAGCATGTCTTCTCTGCAACAATTCATGTTATTCTTTGTAGGCTGATCATAACCATATAAGAAGCAAAGGACAAGCATGTTCAAAATATTATGCAGCAAAGTACCTTTCTCGTTATCTTTGTTATTTATTATCGATTGTTCCCGCAGGGTGTGTTCGGCCTTCTGAGTATTCCTCCTGGACTATTGATTTTGGTCGGGATGATAATGAGAGAATCCCCTGTGCACAAATCCACTAATACACAGGTAAGATTATCTAATGAGGTGTGAAATGAAACATTCGTAACTCGGTTGCTTCTTTTTCGTAACATCGATCTTGTCGTATAGGTAGGCAAAAAGTTGGTGGATGCTAGTAAGGCAGTGTGGGCAACCATACAATGCCGTGAAGTCTGGAGGCCCTGCATATACATGTACTTGTCACTTGCTTTGTGCTTGAATGTTCATGAAGGAATGTTCTACTGGTATACCGAAGCTAAAGAAGGTCCATCTTTCTCCCAGGTACTTTGAGTTCAAGCTCAGTTAGATCAGTTTCCTTCCGCATTTTATTTGTGATCTAAGAAGTACGGATATAAATATGACACGATTGACATGTCATTTTTCTAAAATCTAGGACATGGAGACAAAAATGACATGTTTATTAAAATGTACAACTTTTTTTCTTTTTTACATATATATATATATATATATATATATATATCATTTTTATACCAGGAGAAAATTCAAAATCAATAATTTTATGCATTTTTACGCTTTAAAAAATGAGTTTGATGCATTTTGCTCTTAAAATTTATTATTTTATCCTATATTGCTATTTATGTCTATTTCTTATACTTAACAAGTATTTGATGTGTTTAACAAGTGTCGGATCTATATTTACTTGTACAATTAGTGTCGTGACACATTTGTTGAGCTAACAAGTGTCTGATGCGTGTCAAGAAGTGTTAAGAGTGTTCGGCACGTGTCCAACAAACATGTTACCCAAACTGAAGTGCCTGGGCTTCTTAGTTTGTGATTATTCTACACCATGTGCGATGCAGGAGATTGTAGGTTCGATTCTCTCCATCGGTGCATTTGGCTCACTTTTTGGAGTCGTCCTCTACCAGAACTTGTTGAAGGATTACCCTTACCGCGACCTACTTTTTTGGACTCAGTTGCTATATGGTGCGTCTGGGATGCTAGATTTGATGTTGGTCCTGCGCATCAATGTGAAGATCGGTATCCCTGATTACTTCTTCATTGTGTTCGACGAGGTGATTTCGCAGCTGATCGGGCGAATCAAGTGGATGCCTCTCATTGTCCTTAGCTCCAAGCTTTGCCCTGCTGGGATAGAAGGGACATTCTTTGCCATGCTAATGTCGATCGACCATGTCGGGATGCTTTCTTCAGTATGCGCTGGTGGTGTCTTACTGCGCCTTTTGAAGGTTTCTCGGACTCGGTTCGATAATCTGTGGATGGCGATACTGATTCAAAATATGTTGAGAATTGCTCCCGTTGGACTTCTGTTTTTGGTGCCAACAACTGATCCAAATGCTAACATCCTACCTTCTGAGATGCTGAGATCAAAAAAGGGAGAAGAAAAACCAGAGAATGATGAAACTGAAATGGCACCCTTTGTCAATAACACGTGATACCAATCCAGGGTTGTAATATTTGATGAAACTAAATTTTTAGCTATTTTCCCAACTTGAATTAAGTTTCCTAGTTGAGCTTAGTTAGTCATTAGATATATATATTAGACAAATAACACAGAATTAAAGATCAGAGGGCAAAAATATCCAAATTACACCAAACTTTATTTTGGACCACCCATTGGAGCACTCTAGGAGAAGCATTGTTGGCAATTCCTCCAACCAAATACCTTGTCTTTCTCATTTCCACCACAATTTTTGCCATATTCTTACGTTTTTTCTTTGAAATATCCAACTTGTGATTCAATTGGAATCAAAGGTATTAAGTTTGAAGCTATTACACCCCCCAAGTTTAAGGTGAGTTTTATCCATCGATTCTATTCTTACAATTTACCGAGAATGAATTTTCATTCCTCTTCTTGATTCTCATTATAACTGGAATTTGGAATATAAAAGAATATGTTCTACATCATTTTTTTTTTAATTGATACAAGTTAATAATATATAATCTTCTCTTGAAAAAGAACATTCAATTAAATGAAAATATTTTTTAAAAATTCATAACTTATGAGTCCATAAATTCTTCTCAATTTTAATTAATTATCTTTCAAATTTATTTACTTTTATCATTTTCCTCATAATTAAAACTTTTTAAATTTCCTTAAAAGCTCATCCATTAAGTTTAGAGACTTTTATATTCTTTCTCCTTCTATTTATTTATTTTCACAATTAAAACATTTCAAAATTCTCTCTAAAAACTATACCATAAATATATTATACTAATTTTAACTTAACCCTTGTTTCTCTCTCTCAACTTTTCATCTCTTTGCAGCTTCTTAACTTTAGGTGTGATTATGAATTGTTAGAATATAAATTAAAGCTTAAGTTTGTTATTGGTTCAAATTAAGGCTTGAAATTTTCAGATTTTTTTCATTTTATTTCTTTTATTTTTTTATAATTTATTTCATATTGTTCGATGCACTAATATCTAATATTTATTTGGTCGACTTACTTTATCTATATAGAATGTTAATATGTTTAATATATAAATTTGAATATTAAAAACTTATATAAACTTAGTCCCATATCATCTTAAACCACCTCCGTCTGTGCAACCAGATGCATAAATCTATTCAAAATCATCCTACAATCAATAATATAGTTAATGCGTCTTTGTTGGATCCACAATTAAAAGTTTGGAAATTTATTAAATTTTTTTATGTAATTAGATTAAATAGACAAAATTTTAAAATTTATCTAAAAATATCTTAAACATGAGAAGAAGTTTATTATTTAACTTATATAAACATTTAAACCTAACCAATATTTATAAGAGGCAAAGAATAATAGTAAAACTTTTTACTACTAAAATAGGATCTTATGTATAATTGAATTGGTTAGCGCAAATAACAGATCCCATCACCTCACCTTTATATTTATTTATTTTTTCTTGGATATATATATATATTTCAATATGGTATATTTTTTAGTTTGAAACTTTTTCTCCCAGAATACGATTCAACCCACTGCCATTTCTTTAATTATTATTCAAACCTTATAGAAAGATAAATATAATAATATTAAATTTATTCCAATCATGAAAATTTTCTCCACACGCAACTAAATATTAATTATAGCACCTCGAAGTTTTACAAAATATCTCAAAATAAAAATTTGGATTGATCTTCATACCATCCATATATTATATCATGCCACTATCAATCCATAAATTTCTTTAATCACTAGTTAATTCCATCATCTTTTCCTAATTAGTCTCGTTTATCTCAAGGGGAAATTGCTATAAAGAAAAGAATATTAATATTATAAAATAATGTACAATAAATGAAATACTATTAGAATAAAGTCAAGTGAGAAACTTATCTTATAACTGAAAAAAAGGAAATCCTAAATGGGAGTGGAATATTTCCCCCAATTTTTTTGTGGATTCTCTCAAAACGAAATCAAGAAATTACTTTTATATAAACAAAAAAAAATAATAATATAATAAACATATTTCTTTTTAGAAAAGATAAAATACAGTGCCTTGGTGTTGCAAACCTTATCCAAAAGTGGGGCCCACTCACGATCGTTATCCGAAGACGCACCACGTGGACATAGTAAGCTTACGTGTCAAGAAATTTTCGACACGTTTCACCTTTGTCCAATCAGTTCTAAAAACGGAAAGCCCGAAATCACTTACACATGAGAGAGAACGTTGTCTGGTGGGTCCCACTTTTCCATCACGTGCGGGCACGTGGTTTTGGCGGCAAAACGACAAATATTGGATGTCGTCATGTAGCCGCTATTGCCTAGCCACCCGAAAAACTTTCTAATACCAAATCATTTCCCATCTTATTCTCATTTTTATATTATATTACCAATATTTTTATTCGTCTAGAATTCACTTATTCATTAAATATAATAAAATTAATGAAAATAGCAAATAAAAATTTAGTAGAAATCGTGTGTGTAGATAAGATATTGTTTAGCAAAAATATTTCGAGTGTCAATTAAGAGCAAAGCAAAAAAATAAATAAAAATGCATACATCCTCGTAATTACAAAAGTTATAGATCAAAAAAAAAAAAAAACTCTTATTATCTCTCAATAAATTTTGAGTGTAAATTTCAGGTGAAGCGAAAAGATTTGTACTTCGTCTTAAATGCAAAAAGTTAATATGTAAATAAAATAAAAGATTATAAAGCTTCCCTTCATTTTTTTTTCCTAAAATTTTTTAGAATTAAAACAAAAATTATATTAAAAAAAATTGCAATTTACGTACCTTTTGGCATTTTCTCTATCTCTGCCACGAGAATATTAGGAAAATTTCAATTGCCACCGGGGAGTCTCGAATGGACTGGAGCGGCGGCTGACGTGGAAGGAAGGAGGGCATTTACGTAAATTGACTTGCCGTCTGAAAGCTGTATAAGTTTGAACACGGCGATTTCGCTTCTTCCTCCACCGAGTTGAAATCGGACGTAGCCGTTACCTGCGTACAAAAGAGACGACTCTGTAATTCGCGAATCGCTCTTGCTTTCTCCGGCGGAGATTTCTTTGTCGACGGACTCGCTATTGCTTGACTCAGTCAGAGCGATTCGCTTCCGAGTGAGTTCTTGGAGAATCGGTGGTTTTTTATTTTAATTTTCTTTTTCTGGAGGCTGGATGGTTCAGCTGATGAATTCGGGGACGGAGAAGAGTCCGAGGACGAAGAGGCTGAAGCAGGAGGTTGAGGATTCTTTGGAAGACCTTCTCGATCAATTTCACAAGCGATCCAAACCCCACTTCTCTTCGGAGGTATTGCTCTGATTTTTTCTCTCTCTCTCTGTGATCTGATTGAAATTGACTTCGGAGTTCGTTCTGTATGAAGAACGAACCGAAGAATTCGCAAGAACAGTTCCCGAAATGTTGGCGAATTCCAACAGATTGAACCTTCAAACTCTTGTTTTCAATATTGTACTTCTGTAATCAATCATAGATTTGTTCTTTAATTCGTTTGTAGAAGATTGTTTCTTTCTGGTTTCTTATGGGGGTAACACGAAACAGAGTACTTGAATGATATTATTCTATGACGATATTTGTTTCTCCAGTTGTGTTTCTTGTTCTGAACTTGGATTTAGGGTTTTTATTTTGTGTGAATTGGTTATTCTGATTGTTTTTGAATTTGCAGAAGCGGACGTCAGATGCCAATGTGTTTTGTGTACCGTCCAATCCGTCGAATCCTCTAGATGAGCCAAGCCCCTTAGGTTTGAACCTCAAAAAGAGCCCTTCACTGTTGGATTTGATTCAAGCAAAACTGTCTCAAGAAACTGCTAAATTAGCGAATTTGAGCAAAAAGGACCACAAGGGAGCCACTGCTTTTAGTGCTGCGGACAAACTCAAGGCTTCCAACTTCCCCGCACTAATTCTTAAGATTGGTACTTGGGAGGTACTTTAATTACTGGAACTGTTAATTTTGGTTTTTGTTTCCTTTGTTTTAGTAGAATGGGGTGTTGAGAATGTTGTGTTAATTTGCAGTACAAGTCAAGATACGAGGGAGATCTAGTGGCAAAATGTTACTTTGCCAAGCATAAGTTGGTCTGGGAACTTCTAGACGGGAATCTTAAGAACAAGATAGAGATTCAATGGTCCGATATCGTCGCGCTCAAGGCGACTTACGCTGAGGATGGTCTCGGGACTTTGGACGTGGTGGTGAGTTACATTTTTGTTACCAATGTTTTCTCTCCAAGTTATGGAATGAATGTGTGCACCTTGGTTCTTCATATGTTTAACCGTTGTGTTTTCGCTCTTTTTTGCAGCTGGCGAGACAGCCCCTTTTCTTTAGGGAGATAAATCCGCAACCTAAGAAGCACACTTTATGGCAAGCAACAGCTGACTTTACTGGTGGAGAAGCAAGCAGATACAGGTGCCTCATTTTAAATGTCAAGTCCTTGTAGTTGGTGTATTCCCTTCTGTTCTTTTGAGTACGAAAAACCATTGAAAGAGATTGCTCAACTTAGTTATATCTACTTTGTCTCTTTATGTTCTTTTGAGTCTGAAGCTTAATGAGTCGATTTGGCTTTGATGTGAATTCTGTACTAGTAGTCGTAGTATACTGATTCTAGTCCATGTACTTTGCAGAAAACATTTCCTGCAGTGTTCACAAGGCTTGTTAAACAAGCATTTCGAGAAGCTCATACGTTGCGATCCCCGGCTCAACTTTTTAAGCCAACAACCTGATATTGTGTTAGAATGTCCATATTTTAAAACCAATAGTCCGAATGAATCCAAAGAAGGAATTGATTTGAAGAGTGAGGAGGGACCTACTTTCTTTAGTTTAGGTATGGTGTCACCATCTGGAAATCAGTCGCCTTCTTCAATGAAAGAGCATGATTGTCTTGCGGGCGCATCTGAAGAATATTCTGAGCAATCTCCATCACCTAACTCGGGTAATGACACGAATCTACACCTGAAATTATTGAAGTATGGTTCACTTAGCATGATCTCAAATATGACATAATCGGAAATCAAATGAACCATTGAGAAACTAAGACTCTTCTACTTGAAAATGTGTAGGCACATTCTTGTGTCCAAACTGAACTTTATCCTTTGCGCTGAAAATATTCTGAATGGTTAAATGTGTATTTTAGGGGTGGAAGATCACACGACTGAAGAAGTGAGGAATGATGGATCTGAGAATTTGAGGCTGTTCAACAAATGGGACGAAGTCATAGTTCCTGGAATCCGTCCATCAATGTCTGTTAGCGATTTCGTTAGTCATATCGGACACTGCCTATCGCAGCAGATGACACCCAACGGTGCCATGTTTTCTGAAGAAAAACAACAGAGCAGAGATGCCCTGGAGGGGATTACACAGTATCTTTTCGGCGATTCTCAGCACGCATTCGATTCCGATGAACAGACCATCGTGGCTAGGGAACAGACCATCATGGCTAGGGTTAATTCCCTGTGCTGTCTTCTGCAGAAGGATCCTTGTATGGCTAAGAACCTTGATGTTGGTGGCAACGCCAGCCCAGTTTCTGCACCGGCGTATGAAATCAAGAAGCAAGAAGGCTTCCCAGCACGAAATGGCTACGAATCGGGCAAGCACATAGCCATGTCGAGAAATGATTCAGTGGGTGAGCTGCTGCTTAATCTGCCTAGAATAGCTTCTCTGCCTCAGTTTCTGTTCAACTTGTTCGATGATTCTGATGATCGAGCTAGATAGCCTTTGATTTTGTTCAAGGTCGTCTAGTTAAAGCCTGTACATCAAGTATCTACTGGAAAAAATGAAAAAGGAAAAAAGAAAAGAAAGGAAACAATCCTCGAATATCTTACCTATATATGAATAACCAGTGCCTCTTCACAAGTCAACTTTTGTAAATATAAAGGTGCTTAATATATATATGGTTTATATCAACTAACAGCATAACTTCTCTTTCTTTCTTGTCTCGACAATTGTGAAAGACCATGAGCTTCAGTGTTACACTTTGCATGAACAAGATTTGATGTTTGAAGCTTCATTGCCAAATGCATTTTCCCCTTGGACTGGATCTCTAGACACAGGCAAACAAATAGCAGCAGTCTTTTGATAAATAAATTAAGACGGAACTGTGGCAACAATTTGGTAAAAGGGTAGACAGATAGATCCTGGTGGTAAAATGTGGACCGATAGCTTTCAGAGTCCTGGCTCAAACTTTTAGGTTTGAAACTTTAATAACTGAGTTTCTTTAAAGATGATCAAAGCATTCTCGAAAGATAGTGGGGTAGGTGGGAGAAATTAAATTAGTAGAGTCTGTTTTGGAAAATTTAAAAGAAAGCTAAGGGAAAAAGGACCTAGTAACTACTGGAATCAGTAAAAAAAGGTAAAAGGACCAACCAGCAATAAGCAAACTTGTCAAGTCACGCACACACACGGATACGAATAAATAAAGCTATCAAAAGAAAATGGGCAGTCCACTCACAAACTCCACAAGCAGAAGGGGGGCTGGTTCCGGACAACCTGCAATGGCTTTTGACGAATCACCTCAGATGAAAAAACGTCCTGAAAGAATTTATCATGTTCCTTCGCATCTACAGGACCTCATCTTTTTTCACCTATTCTCTTTTTATCCATCTGTTTTTGGGGTGGGGATGCACGAGAATTATTTTCTATGAAACCAAAAGTATTCCCTACCGGTGACAAAAATAGAGTAACAAAGCAGGGAAGAGGCCTTCACGATCAGTGTATAGGGAGATGAATCTGCATTTTTTAGCACCATATAGAGAGACAATTCACATGTAAACTTCCCCAGTGGGAGCAAGGAAAAAAGTTCTTTCATGCATTATACAACAGGCTACAGAGAAACAGCTCATGTGTAGATAGAAAAAGGAATATAAATAGTGAGAACTTTTAAAAAGGAGTATCGTGCAATTCTATGCCTAGCTGTAAAAGATGAACCTGAAGAAACCCCACAATTGAGGGGGGAAATTAATAATCTAACTAAAACAGGATACTTGGTTGTTAGTCTCCAGAATACATGGTTGTTAGTCTCCTTTAACGTGCTGCAAGCCACTTCGAACACGTGAAAAAGCCAAGGATGCTACCATTGAGGTCGAGTACCCAATTACTGCCCCGTAACTCACACATATTGGCCACTCCTGCATATTAAAGTGATCTTTATTTAATAGAGTTCGCATAGATGCAATGCAAGAGAACTAAGAAAAATAACCTGAATTTACATGATTGGTTTAACATTTTCACACACACAAGGGACTTTGGTTTATTTGATGTCACTCCTATCTAACTCTGTTAGTTTCTTTATTGTTTGTAATAGGAGAGCATTCTAGTTGGTCTTAGGATTTATTCAAAACATAATTTACCTAATCTAATGCCACATCAAGACCATCGAGATTAGGAGCACTAGAGCAAGAGGCGACAACCATTAAGTATGGAATTGTCAAAGGAACTATATGGGTAGCAAATAGACATAAATTGATACCATATCCCAAAATCTGATTCAAATCAATATAACAGCATGGTCACATGAAAAAATGTAGTGAATTGTCATTTATGAATAAGTTCCGAAAAGAATTGAGTACTATCGTATGTATCAGCTAAGTTCACAAGTTATAGATAAGTGGACTCTACTCATTATTTTGTCTTTGAATGCCTAGAAGTCACGAATAGATGCAGTAAAAACTAATCTCTATCATATAACTTTTTATCGGCTTAGATCACATTTTAGAGGTAAGTAAACTTGACTCATTATTTTTTTTGGGATGCCCAGACGTACCATTTTATAGTTCATCAACTTTGAAACAAGAGATTATCAAATGACACTATTTAATGTCAATGAGGTTTGTTGGCCGAGCTTTATAGGCAAAAACACAAGTGCAGTATGGAAAAATAGTACCTGCCAAGGCCTTTCCCAATCAAGTGGCATGGGCCATGCGCCAAACCAGGCTCCAATAATGGCCCCATGTGCTGGAATGCATATCATATGATCAATAGTTCCATTGGGCCTGCAATTGCACAGCATCGACTACCTTTACATAAACATTTTATTCTGAGTTTGTATTTACCTTTGTTAAAAACTAAATATTTTGCTAGTAGAAGAATGCATCCACGTCAAGTAAAGAGAGATAAATAACACATCAGGAGCCTTACTTTGTGTAAGCAAATAGGCGCTGCCAGTCCATCCATGATGAACCAAAGACACATGCTGAAGGCACGATCTACAAGACGAGCAAAAACCACTATCAATAAAGGACTAACATATCCATACGAGAAGGGGAAGGGTTTCTAACACAGCACAACATTTACCATGAAAGTAAATACGATGATAATAATCCTCAAAACAAACTGAAAAAATATCCAGATATGAGAAAGCTCCACTTCCATGAATCTCATAATAGTCATTAACTAATTTAAAGGGTTAAAACCATAACCTGAGAAAACCAAAAAAGAAAATATAGGTCCCATTATCCATCTCACAAAGATGTAAAACAACAGCCAATGACTATATAACAGGATTCAAAAAGGTGGAAGAAATTGAAACAATATAGTTAGAGATATAGTCATCAAAGGAAATATCTTAAGAATAGCTTACTCACATTGAACAATGACATCACAAGTGACCAGTTAAGGGTCTTCGAGAAGTATCTGTGCCAAGAAGAAGTATTCAGACCATGTACACAAAAACACTTCAGTATCAAATGTATTAATATTATCGTGATTTAGCCTTAAAGCTTAAATCTGTGGAACATCAATATCCATAATTATAAAACAGCAAATCATGACTGATGATACTGTCGATTAATCTTCCCAAGTAAAATTCCACTTGAAATACTCACAATTTGGATTAAGCTTTATTTTGGAAAAGGAAGACCAAAACCAAAGTAATGTTCCCATAATGGTGATAAAATAAAATGCCAGCTGATGCTGGGAGCAGATCTTGCCTTATTTGTTGTACAAATTCTGGTATAAGTTTTCCAATCAAATATAAAAATTGATTCAAAATTTGGAATCCATGGGAGATGAAAATATAGCTTTTCAGTCACTTATTCACGTACTGAGCACCAACGGGAGCGCCTAGAACTATTGCTCCAAAAGCATTAATAACAGCACCTGCATAATAGAGGCCACATTGATCCCATTATGACAAGTTGAGCGAGAAGAACCAAACAAATACAAATCATTATGAATAAGAAAAACAAATGCGTGGTAGTCTCCAGAGAGTGATCGTGGACGCACATGGGAACAAAAATACCTATACTCTCACATCACCAAATTTGAAATCTCATTTCACCTAAAATTTGAGCAATATCCATTTCGAGAAATGGTTATTGAATTTAACACGTCTTCGATTTTCGCATACAATATTTCGATCCTCAGAATGCTCAATTGGAAAGACAGATGAAGCGCAACTTCAAAAGCACTCATAGCTAATTAAACAAAAGAAAATCGAAAGAAGTACCAAATGGTAATGAGATTTCTTCAACTAACCAGCAGGGAGTCCAAGTATGCCTCTCGTAACAGCTTTCAGGTACTGCAAATTCGCACAGAAGATGGTCCAAGTTTTTCAAAATTTCTTATCTGATTTCAGAACAACCGATACACTTTATCGTGAAACAAGAGAGAGTCAACCTTACCGAGCATTGTTCTCGGTCCAGACGGTAGCGGCTGTAAAGAAGGATGACAATCGGACACTCAAGAGCCTGAACAGAGAGAAAGAAGAAAAATCTTTCAAAATGCAGGGAGTAAATTAGGAAACGAAATCAAGAAGAGAATTGAGAGAAAAAATACCCAAATCAAGAAGAGAGTATGAGAAGGATTGGAGATGAGATCGGTGGAGTAGATGTATCGAGCAATCCAGAGAGCTAGGGCTAGCCCCAAGCCGCAGATCAGGTGGACGAGGAAGGCTTCCGCAATCGATACGGCAGTCGGGGCTTTACTGGCCATCTCCTTCTCCGTCGCCATGACTGTATTTTCTCGTAGCTCGTACGGCAAAGAAATGGGAAAGAAAAGAAAATGGGGCGTTGGAAGTGTGTTTTAAATATTAGTTTTGTATTTCTTTTTAGAAAAAACAAACAAACAAACAAACTTTTACGTAAAATTCATAGATAGTTTTTTAATTTTAAGAAAATAGAAAAACGATTTTGTTTTTAGAAAAAAAAATAGAAAAATGTTAAAGGTTGAGATTTATGTACTAAGGCTTCATGTTTAGTAAATATTTTATTATTTAATAAAAATAATTATTTAATTATTTTGATTGTATAAAATATTTATTATTATTATTATTATTATTATTATTATTTTGTAAAAATCTAAAGTTAAATTTGTAATATTGAACCGTATGTATGTAATTAACTTACAAGAAAATCTTGTTAAAATTAAAATCTAAACAAATCTATAGTACATTGTAGTTGACTTACAATAAAAAGAATTAATTGTTTGTTCTAATATTAAATTGTTATTTTTACTTATAAAGTTTCAATTTGATTATTCTAGGTTGTATTTCATTTGAATTTGGTTCTTATATGATTGAAAAAGTTTTAATTTAGTTTATATAGTTAGTGAGAACTCGTAAATTATTTTTGTTATTACTATAGTGAATATATGACATGTTTTTAATTATGTGATAATAAGCTAAATGTTATCAGCAAGAAATAGAAGAAAATTGGTGGATTTTTTGAGTTTGAAAATAACAATTTAGAAACTATTTGCGGATCTTACTAAATTATTGAGACCAATTAATTAAAACTTTTAAATTTACAAGATCAAATTGAAATAAAGCTGGTCAAATTTGTAATTTAACGGAACAAAAATAGCAATTTGTTGTTTGATGTGTTTTCTAAGTTAATTATTTTCTTATATTCATCTTTTTTTTTTTTACTAAATATGTTATATATATATATATATATATATATATATTGAAACAATAAAATTAACCGATTAAAAAATGAAAACAAAAAACATATATGTTTTTATGGATGATTTTTAAAACTAAAAGAAATAAGAAACAAATTTTCAAAATTTTAATTTGAAGAATATTTAAAAAAAATAAATATAGAAATATGTCAAATAATCGCTCATTTTTTTTAATGTTAACTTACAAAATACAATCTCATCTCATGAGTTTTTTCTAACACAATCTTATCCAGTAATATATCGTAAAAAGCACGAAACTAGATCCATATTAAATCATACCTAGTTCTGTCTAATTGTATCTCCAACTCCAACATTTCACTATCCAAGAAAGTAAAAATCTCTATGAATTTTAAATTAATATAGAAAAATCCAACACAAAAACAGAAAAAGTTTGGGGGATACATGGGATTTGCACCAAAGTCATTGTGAATGGTACATTACATCACAGCTTTAACAAAAGGGAAGATGATTCCTTCAAGTGTTAATTTCAGGTTTTTTATTAGAAATCTTTTAGAAGCAATTATTATTTGTATTTACAAAACTTCACTTACTTTAAGCCCAAAATTGGCCTAAAAAGCAAGGATGCCAAGGATACAACATAAGCTTTTCACATCATTATTGTTCGAGGAATTTGAAAATGGGAGAGGACTTGACTTGTCTCCCTATGAAATTGGGTCGAAAGTTGGAAAAGTTGTTGTTCTAACTGGATCATGGTTAGAGTTAGGGTTAGACCACACCAAAGGCTTCCAAAAAGATTTGTGCTTCCGCCTTATTTGGTGGTGGTGATTTATCAGCTCGGTTTCTGATCTACTTAGTATCTCCCACATCACCTTCACATCTTGATAGCCGCATGTTTCTACATCGTCGTGAAGTTTCAAAAGTCCTTGATCTGTTAACCACAAGCAACAAGTTAGGAATCATTTATGGTCCGTCTGATAACCATAAGTTTTTAGTTTTTGATAATCAAACTAATAACTATCTATAATTAAGTTTGAAGTTTTTTTTTCCGCATTTTTTTAATATATGCTAGTAACTCTTATGAATTAAATGATCTTTTTTAACACTTGAAGGTATGGAGGTTCGAACTTCCGACCTCCAGGAAAAGAGCAAGTATTAATTACTGAACTATGAGCACATTAAAATGGTTTGTCTTTACCTAGCTAGGACCTATTTAACGGTCACATTGCTTTCTTTTAAAAATATGCTGGTTTAAAATTAGTTTATCTTATATGTAAATTTTAATTTGAAAGTACTTTTATAAATATTAGCCATGAGATACATGACAACTAAAGAGTACACATTATTTTATATATAAAAAAAATACAAAACAAAAGTAAAATCCCAAGAGTTTACCTAATTCAAACAAATACTAAATACAATAGTAATACCAGGTATCGTAACAAATTAGGGATTTTTCACTCAGTTACTCGTTGATCTAATTGATACGCACATATATACATATAAAACATGTTCAATGTTTGCCTAAAATTAAAAGAATTAGGAAGCCAACCCAGGAAGGAAATATAATAAATACAATAACAAAAGGAAAATCCATGAAATTTTCTCACTGTACCAAAGCGAGCCCTCCAACTTTGGTCGTGAGTTCGATCTCTCATCCCCACATATTGTATTCAAAAAAAGATTTTCTCACTAAACTCACATAACTTATTTTTTCGATTATTTTTCTCCAAACAAACAAATGAGATTTAACCCAACCTAATAAACTCACGAATATAGATGCCCAACCAGAAGAAGTGGTCCAAAAGGGTCAGCCAAGTGGACCTGATTCCTTGTTGGAAGCATTTTTCCCCCCTAAAAGAACAATAGTAATTGGGAAAAGAAAAAAAAAGGGAGAAAAAGAGAGAGAGGAGGTGATTTGTGACGTTGATTCCTCTTTTTCAAGCCATTGACAATGCTTTTGTGACTAAGGGGGCATCAAAGAGGCTTTGAGTGAAAAAGATGTTTATCCAAACCAACTTTATAAAGTTACTTAATTAATTACAATTTTACAAAGTGGAATTTTTCAGGTCACTTTAATTAATACTTTGAATTTTTAGGATAATCCTAAATAATTATTATTAATTAACATCGTGTATAATGGATAAACTAAAATACAATATTTAAAAAGTTTTAGAAAAAAAATAAGGTATTTACTCCTCTCGTACATGAGTAGTTTAACCTTTCACCTTAAATATATAATCTTTAAAAAATTAAAAGAATAAGAAAATTATAAATAAATCGATATCTAACCCAAACTAAAGTTTAGTTCGAATTCTCCCATCTTGCTTTTTTTCATTTTTATTTAAAAAAAAAACAATTAAAGATTTTTTAGGGGCTAGCTCTCTTTTTTTTCCCCTAAAGTGGGGGTCGGTCTAGTGGATCTTTTCCCACTTGGGATTTGATCTTTATTTATTTATTTTTAATGTCCCTAAACTCAATTAAATTATGATTAGAACTAATCACCAACCGACTCAAGGAATTTCAACTATATAATCACCCATTTAATTGCTGACGTGTCGGTATCTTTTCAGATAGTTTTTTTCTCTTTGTAAAATTTATAATATCAAAAGAAGAACTGACAGGATTTATTTTCAATTACAATATTAATAAATTATCTTATCATTTCATCCAGAACCCATATTTTGATGTCCGGTAATAACCGTTGAATCCATATAATTTAATTTAATCTCCCCATAGAAATTATAATGAATAGCAAAATTTAATTTGATTAATACATAAAATTCTCTCTTCCTTTCTATAAAGAAAGAGTATTTTGTCTGTTATTAATATTTAAATACAAAAAAATTAAATGGAGACGGCAAATTTTGGATCATTAAAAGTTATATTTTTTAATAGTTCTATTTTTTTTAATCAAAAGGTCAAATACAGTGTAAATTACGAATTTAGTCTTCGAATTGATGACTTAAAATTTGTCTTTATAGTTCATACTTTGATCCTACAATTTTACTAAATCTAAAAATCGGGAGATGTGATACTTTCTTTTATGAGGCAATAAATTAATATTTTCTATTTAATTAATTGGATGAGTTGATCGTACTAGTTTGTGTAGGGCTAAGTAAAAGTAAGAGAAAATAGGTTCAGTTTTGGAGAACCATTCACGATATTTAACTCTACCACAAGGATCAAAGGAAAACTTTTTAAAATTATATAAACCAAATCGAAATCAAACAATAATTATGGAAACTAAATTAAAAAATTTGAAAATCAACCTAAAGTACTATAGAAGTAACCTTAAAATATAAATAACTATGATTTTTAATCGAAAATAAAATTAAGAAAAAATGAATAAATGAGGAGAAGGTTTTGGTTGTAATTTTAATTCGTCTGATTGGGAAGGGCATAGAAAGTAAAAACTCACCGTTTTTGGGATTTTTAAGGCGGGCATAAACGGCGAGCCAAACACGGCGTACGGGAAAAATCATCTGCTGCCAAAATCCCATAATACACCCTTTAATTTCAATCTTCTTCTCCGTCTTCGTCTCTCTGTTTTTCTTCCTCCGGCAAAACCAGCCGCCGCCGCCGCCGAGTCGAATAGCGCCTAACTCGGCCAGACTCACCGGGTCGCAAATGAATCTTTCTTTCTGAAGATTAATTTCTCTGTACACACTCACCACCCACCACAGTTCCTTCAGCGGCTAGAGGGAGAAAGAGAGAGAGGAGAGAGAGAAGAAAGCTATGGAAATGAAAGTAATGGGGGGATGGATGTTATTATAGTATAGGAGGCCACCGACACGTGACTAACTGAAATTAATTTTCCTTTTTGTAATTTTAAATCTTATGTATTTTTTGTATTGTTAGTTTAGTTTATGTACTAGTACTACACTACTACTGCAGAAAGCAATATATATATTCAATACACTTTTTTTTGATTTGGACTTCCATTAACTCTCCACCTTATAAAATAATTTATGGAAAGTCATTTTTTAATTTTTAATTTTTAATCTTATCTTTATCAGTCAAATTAAACCTAATTGTTAAATTCCATTAATTTGATCAGCGAACATAATCCAGCGGTAATTAGCATATACCTCTTAGAGGTTATGAGTTTGAATCCCTCCCCAATATTTTGTACTTAAAAACAATAATAATAATAAAATAAAATTGATCTATACTTAGTTCAAGTGGATATAATAGAGTGGTTGAGACATCTCTATTTTCTCAATAATCACTATTTCAATTTTTGGCGACGAAACCTTCTTTCATTATCGAAAGTCTGCTTTCGTCGCCAAAAGTCAGCTCAATTTGGATCGTCGATGGCCTGCATTTTTTGCCAAAAGTCCCCTTGGATGACGAAAGAAGGTTTTGTCGTCGAAGGTTGGTAGGGTTTTCACCCGCCCAATATTCGTCAAAACTAAACGCACCGTTTTGGTGGTTTTAGTGACGATGTTTGGGACTTTGGGCGACGAAACTGTTTCGTGGCCAAAAGTCTCAAATTGAAAACCCCAAATCACAATTTTCCCCTCATTTGTTCGTTTCTCTTCTGAAACTCTCCACCTTCAATTAATTCTTTTACTGTCCCATATTTTAACTTCCCGATTCCCCTCATTAATGTTATATGTTTAGATCACCGTTTCTATTTAATATTTAGAATTTAAAATTAATCAATATCTTAATTCGTCAAAAGTTTAAAACTTTTTATTCCTTTATACTAAAATAATAATAATAAAAAAGCATAAACGGTTACTATGAGCATAAGCCACAAATGTAGGCTTTACTTTACATTGAAAGTTAAGCAAAACTTATTTCTTTTAATACTCCACCAAGTGGGCAATTGAAATTCCCTTTGTTTTCTTTTTCTTTTAGTAATTCGAAGAGCAAAGTTTAAGAGTAACGGTTGATATTCACTAAAAAATATTTCAACTTCCGATTCATTTTTAAAACATTTTGCTTTCGTACTTCGATAAACGGGAAATCTATCATGTAAAATCAGAATATTTATGTGGAGTTTTTCATGAGTGCATGCCTTCAAATAATAATAATAATAATAATAATAATAAAAAAGTCGTCATTTGGAGCAGTTGAAATTATTCAACCTTCAAAATTATAAAGCGGACTTAGAATGTTTTTTAAATTTACTATTTTTGACTTTGACTAGCAAAGTTAGAAGTTTATTACAAAATTTACAATTATTTTTACTCCAATTTTTTTTCTGAGCAATATTCTTACACCAATTATACCTCTAAAGTCATTTAGAACTGTTGAAATTTCTGGCATTCCATAAAAATTGCTGCGAAAGATGGCAATTCTTCACCATATGATCATTTTTTTTTTCCTCAAAAAAACCTTCCATTTGTGTATTTTATAGGATATTAAATTTGTGCCGACATTTTCATTTGTATTTTACAGGATAGAAAATAAAAAAAATTATTAACGGGGGACGTTTAGTATACATGTTTCTTTTTTTTCTTTCTGAAAACTACTTAATTATTTTGTCAAATAAATTTTTTTTACGGAAAAAAAAACTCTTTTTTATCTTTAAGAAACAAACTACCAACGTTGAAAAAGACAAAAATGGACATGCTAACGGCACTTGATCCCACATTCTCAAGCGATTGGGTTTAATGGTTAATTTCGTCAACTACGACTAAATTCTTAGTTTTGTAAATTTTTTTTATTTATTATTAAAAAAAAAGGCAGTCCCTTCAAAGGTTTGGTCTGAAAATTATTGCCTCTACCTAATCTTTGTTTTGATTTTTGAAATGATATTTTCTTTTTTAATGCTAAATTAACGATAAAGAATAAAAAAAAACATCTATTTTTTCACATTGTATATTAATTTAAATATTTTCTTGCATATATTTAAATTTCATCTAGAAAATTGTTTTTTTTTTATAATTAGAAAATTATTGTTTCAATAATACATTATGAAGAATATTGTGTCATTTAAAGGTCTACATGATTTTTCTTAAAATTTTGTAAAATATAATTGATTTCTACACTAAAAGTTATACTCTTACCATATTCATATAGGCGTCAATAATTATTTTTATTTAGACTATCAGTGAACGTTCAACCGATAAAACTCAATTGATAAAATTTCTATTTGGAATTCAAATTCTCCTAACTTGTACATAATCGAAGACATGAGATAAAATTAATTGCCTATTATTAATCTAAATATTATGTAGGGACAAAAAAAATTATAAATTAGACTGGCTAGGGGTTGACTTTAGAAATACAATAAAATTGGAGTAAAGTGTGGCATAGCTAGAATTTGATGAATTTGTTGGTTGAGCTTTTAAAAACTTTTGTTTCAGCATTAGTTTTTGCTCTACCAATTTGGTAATTAGTAATTCTTATGTGTTTCCTGCCACCAAATATTGTAGGGTCAGACGATTGTCCYGTGAGATTAGTCGAGATGCGCGTAAGCTGGCCCGGACACTCACGGATAATATATATGAGTAATATATATATATGTTTGATTTGGTGTTAATCTCTACATTCATAGAACACTAACATTAGTTAGCATTTGATTCCAAAATAAAACGTGTCTCGCACATTGATTAGTGGTGATCACTATATTTGGTTAATGAATCAACTTTTCATCCTGTAACAGAAATAAACACTAAATCGAGGTTAGTTTATTAGGAAAAAGAAAAAAAAAAGGTTGCAAATGAAAATTTCAAAAGCTCTTCCTATTATGACTTCATACTAAGCTTGCACAAGTTGGTGGCAGGAATTCCTTTGGAAGAACAACACAAAAGAATGGAAAAAGAATAATTCCATTTCTACTTTTTGCTGCCAACCCTTTGAAAGAGGGGACTGGGAAAAGTCTAAATTTTCTTTTAAGTCTTAAGAGGTGAGCTTTTATGAAAATACGTATATTCTATTGCACTATCTTAAAGAAAATTGTTCTAATTCAATTAAAAAATAATTCTATCTTAATTTAATTTCTTACTAATATGGTCATCTCATAGCCTTCATGTCTATGAGTGTTCAAAAAATCAAGTGACTCGGAACATATCTAGACAACCAAACTCAAACTATAACAGTTTGGTTGGGTTAATTAGAAATTTTTTTATTTGGATTGGGTTGGATTTTTGTTAAATCGAAAATTCGGCTCGGTTCATGGGTTGACATTTTTTCTTTTCGGTTCAATTTGCAACTAATTGAACCACCATTAAATTAAAAAAGTCAATATATAAACAATTAGGGTTTCTTCTTTCTGTTAGTTGACTCCTCCCACTCATCTTCTTCCCCCTATCTCTTCTTTTTTTCTCCCTCCCTCATCTCCCACTCCATCTTCCTCCCCTCTCTCCTGCCACTTTAGACTCCTATCACCATTCCTATCGAAGAGGCTCGAGCCAAGCAAGGAAGCAAATTGTAGACGACGTAGTCGACGGGGGTTGGAAGAAGAAAGGTGTCGCAAAAGTTGTCTTAGGGTTTGAGATCCAAATTGGTAGAGAGAAATCAAGGTAGATCTGATAGTCTCTGCAGCGACGTAACTGGGTCTCGTGGTCATTGGAGATGGTGACAACCCAACCCCATCTCCTTCTCCACTGGTCTCCCATCTCTCAACTTGTTTTTCACGAAATTTCTTAGCAACCCGACAACCAACTCTACCCAAAAATATAAGGGTTTGGTTGCAAACTTTGTTCAGATCCTTCGAGTAAAAGACCTGACCAACCTCAATTTTCAGGTTAGTCCATAAAATCTTTAACCCCATCCAATCCAACCCGTGAACACTCCTATTTATACTTATTCTTAATAAGGGATCCACTCAATAAACCAATTTCAATATTGAATCTCAAATTAATTAATCTTCCAACTATATGTTAGTTGTATTTTTATCTTTGGGTAATGCAACTATAACTTAAATGAGACCCGAGCCATTACGAGTGGATCCCTATTGTTCAAATCTCAAATCAATCAATACCTAAAATAAATCGCTTGTTTACTTTTCATACATGGGCAAAGAGTTTAATTTCATAGTATGAAATTATATCCTGAAGTATGTGATATGGTAATATATATATATATGTAAAAAATAAGTTAAGAAATTCTCTATTTTTAAAATATTGTGTGTCAACCTTTTTTTTCAAGAATATTAGTTATATTATAAAGTAAAGGAAAAGAAAATACAACGTTTGACAACTAAACCATGCTCGTATGTGCAAACATGTCAAACATTTCTATACGGCAATGAATATGTGGTAAGATTCTTCTCGCGACCTTATTTCAAATATTATTTTTATAAATTTGAGAAAAGATAGTTATAACTATAAATTTACTATACCATGTTTTAATTTGTGTTATGTTGGTTAATTTCTTCATTTAGGAAACCAAAAATATATATCAATAATAATAGCTCAAAGCTTTGCTCAGCCTGATCTCATACAACCACTAACATAATGGTGGGTTCAAATATTCTAAATCAAGAATAATCAAAGAAAAATCAATTAATTTATTGGCTAACCACCATTGATCTCATTTGTTTGGTACTATTAATTATCATACTTTTTTTTTAATAATGTCAGTAATACTTTACAAAATGAGCTCATTTAATCACTTATTATTGTTAATTCCCATTCAAGAGTGGCTTAGCTTTTCTGGCATGTGGCCAGGGATGATTTTGTCATCTAAATATTATATAAAAAGAATGATTAATTAAATAATTAAATGGTTATATTACTTGTACTTCAAAAGGAGATATTATTAGGGTTTATG